TAGGCGTTTAAAGCAACTGTGGCTCACAATTAAAAACTACTTGTATAAATTCAAACTAAATCTATCACACTGTGGGACTCTAATGATCGTCATGGGATATTTATGAAGTTAACCTCACAATAGCCTACAAAGCTTTGCTTAACAAGTATATATTTTGTAGGACACTCCAATATTGCCTATTGAGATAGCTATACATTGTAAAGCAAATAGCACTTAAAATAGGTAATGAACAAAAATCAAAAGGAATAAAAAATGTTATCGATATCAATAAACGGCTCCATACAATTGTAGTGGCTTCAACTGAGTCGCAGACGTAGACTTTGGAGGCAGCGCATTTATTTAGTTCCAACACACGGGGTAACTTCCCCTTAACAGAATAACAACCTCAGGTGGTGACCACCCGGCTAACTATAGTTACCATGTAATGGTTACTACGGACCCGGGACCAACATCATCTGCCCGGGTCCACATGCTGGAAGACTCGTAGAATGGAGATCGTAGACTAAGGGTTATTTTCCCAGGATGAACTACCGCGATCCCTCTCGGGACTTGGCTTATATTCTCTGCAGCGGGGCTGGCTTCGCCCTTGGCCACACCCCCCTTCCAGAACCATCGGGAAGAGTACCATGGTCTCACACGACCCTCCCCTTAGGTCGGCACCCACACACCGTGTCCTGTAGGGCCGGCACTGCACTTACAGCATGGTGCCATCCAGCGATGTTACTCATCGCACACCGTGCCCCTCTAGGGCCGGTACTGCACCCACAGCATGGTGACATCCAGCGATGTCACTACACAATTAAGCAGCTTCCATTTTTATATGTATTAAAGAATAATGTATTTGGGACGTAACCCTTAATTAATGATAATTAAATTACCATCATATACAGACTACACTGACATGTGATGCATTGTACCTAGCTGTTTATATTCACAACCAGAGCGTTCCTATCAATATGTAGTGTAATAGCGCCGGCTGGTGACCAGCAGCGGCAACTGCAGTGGACAAACAGTACACATGCCGGGAGCATATACACGGGTGTGTCAGCAGGGCGGAGGAACTGGGGCAAGGGTCATGGAGGGCCCCATCTGGAAGCATCTGGAACCTGCTACTGCCCTGTAGATCTGCAACGATCCAAAAACAAAATTACATGTGATGCTCACTCTGTACTAAATATGTTTTAAATTTGACTCTTTGCAAGACGTTTAGTCTTGCTCTGCTCATAACCATACCCACAAGATTGCTAACTCTGAGGTACACAAATTGGAATCTATCATGGGAAGAAAAATATCTCATTACCGGAAGATTGGGAGATCTACATGCAAACACATTGTAGAGTGTGTTTTATTATGTAACTGATAAAAAAAAAACAAGACTTTTAATGTTGCAGAACTACTTTCAGATTTCCCAGGTCAACTACCTCAAAAACAGGCCGATTTTGGAAAACCAGGACAAGTGGTGATATTATTTCCCCATTACCCCCATTGTGTATATTCTTGTATACTCTGTAGTAATATGGGGAGTTTTTTATGGATTAGTTGCTCTATACTTTAGTAACTTGGGATATTTTGGTAAACGTGGCCACATTTAACCGTCCAAGTCTCATAAATTGCTGCACTGCTGTGCAATATACTCCATGCTGCAAAAACAATTGTGCAAAGTTTGCTTCAGTGCGTAGCTGTCAGCAGATATATCCTCACCACACTACAGTACAATATACACCTATTTATGTCGAATAATGCGTTTCAGTCGTTCCTTGTCTTTTTATATCACAATGCAGGAAAAAAAGTGGAGTACCATAATCTCAGCACATCATGCCAACCCATCATGCATAGACATTATCTCAGCGCATAATTTTCACTGTACATCATCACACGTGCCGTTCATCGTCTCAAGCATCATGAGAAGCCATGGCCGCATGGTTGATAATGACTATGCATATTGGACATGTCAGGACCCAGATGTTGCCTTCAGCGAGCGCAGATGCGCACATTCACGTGTCGAAATGGCTGACTGCATAAAGTAAACAACTTTCCCTTAAAAAAAACTACAGCACAAGTCCCCACTCTGAAACTTTCATCATTATCATCACGATCCATGGGCAGATATCACCTAGGTGTCCACTGCACATTTCGTAATTTGTTTCCACAGATTGAAACAGTGCTAAATCTCAGTGGCCCTTAAGGCCTGTGGTGCATTTCAACGACGCACGCATGGAATTCCGTGAGAGGTGGCAATATAGCAAAGGGAGCCATGTCACAACAAGGCGATTCTTTATCGCGATCTCACGCACAATGCATGTGACTCAGAGTATTACGCAAAATCTCACCCCGTGGCTAAGTCACGACACTTGGCGCACATTGCGTGTCCACGTGTGTATAAATGAATTGTGTTGCCTATATAATGGGTCACACACTGCTGTCTTTGAGATGTACGTATGAAGTGTCCACGTGTGAATGCATGCATTGTGTTATAGAAAGTGTGCACACACATACGCTGTTGTCTATGGGATGTGTATGAATTTCATTAATTCAATTGCTTTTTTCGGTAAAAACTCGCCCCCACTAACGAGGGCATCTCAGTAGTATACGTTAAACGAAGGTAGTCCTACCTATAAAATAAAGACACGTATTAAAATATCAAAATAAGAGGACATACTCAAGGAAAAACGAAAAGAATAAAAATAGTCTTGCAGAGTATCCTGAACTGTTTGGTGCTCGGAGCCAATCTGAGGGCCGGTGGAAAAGAGTTACAGATCTCAGGTGCCACACTTGAGAAGGCCCTACACGAATGTGTACTTGCATTATGGCGTCTATAGAATGTGTATACACACGTAGGATATGTGCATTAAATGCATGTACTGCATGCACATGTGTATACATGCATTGCTGTCAATAGAACTTGTGCGCACACATAGATTGTATACCCTATACACAGGTAGCATTGTGAGTATACAAAAGCTGCGCCTTGGATCATTGTGAACAGAAACGGATTGTTGGAGGGACACTTCTTGATAAGGCAGCAGATTGCAGCATATATCCTGTATAGAGCAGCGATCCAAATGAGCAAAATGTACTGATAATAATAGGGAACAACACATTAATGTGCCTCAAGAATGACGTTTCAATCATTACATATTACCTGGTATGCCATGGTTCGGAAATATGGACACTTGACAAATTGAACACAAACTGAAAACAATCTGCAAAAAGGTCGCATCGAGGGGAGCATCTCGTGGCACGCGTTACATCATATCCACCGTAAAAACTAACTAACTAACTAACGTGAAACGTGCTTTTGTCCATCACATCCCTAATGAGGGATGGCGGCTGATGGACGGCGCAGTGGACGGAATGACAGCCAAAGGAGGAAGAGATGGGGGGGGGGGGGTTTCATTGACTGTATTTGGTATAGCCCTGTGAGCCATTCGGCTCTTGAATCTGGGTGCAACCGCAACAAACAAAAAACATGAAAAAGAAAACATCTTAAAGTGACTATGCACAAACAGAAAAATCCAGGAAAAAACTGCAAAGTCTTCCAGAAAAAAAAGCACCGTACACCAACGCTGTGAGTGGGTGGGACGGGGACGGACGAATGAGTTCAGCTCCGTGCGCAGGAGCGAGACGAGATGGAATCGTGGCATCGTCTGGCCACGAGGGATGGTGGCGACGACGGCTTAGGGGGAAGCACCTTCGTCCAGCAGCGGATAAGACCACGGGTTGACATTCACATTGACGACGACGGCTGCTGCTGCTCCGTGTTAACCGCGCATAAAACACAATGCGTAGTGCCGTGCTGTGTGCATCCGTGTGTCGTGTCGACAACACAATGTGTAGTGCCGTGCTGTGTGCGTCCTTGTTGTCGACAACACAATGTGTAGTGCCGTGCTGTGTGCGTCCGTGTGTCGACAACACAATGTGTAGTGCCGTGCTGTGTGCGTCCGTGTTGTCGACAACACAATGCGTAGTGCCATGCTGTGTGCGTCCTTGTGTCGTGTCGACAACACAATGTGTAGTGCCGTGCTGTGTGCGTCCGCGTGTCGACAACACAATGTGTAGTGCCGTGCTGTGTGCGTCCGTGTGTCGACAACACAATGCGTAGTGCCGTGCTGTGTGCGTCCTTGTGTCGTGTCGACAACACAATGTGTAGTGCCGTGCTGTGTGCGTCCGTGTGTCGACAACACAATGTGTAGTGCCGTGCTGTGTGCGTCCTTGTGTCGTGTCGACAACACAATGTGTAGTGCCGTGCTGTGTGCGTCCGCGTGTCGACAACACAATGTGTAGTGCCGTGCTGTGTGCGTCCGTGTGTCGACAACACAATGCGTAGTGCCGTGCTGTGTGCGTCCTTGTGTCGTGTCGACAACACAATGTGTAGTGCCGTGCTGTGTGCGTCCGTGTGTCGACAACACAATGTGTAGTGCCGTGCTGTGTGCGTCCTTGTGTCGTGTCGACAACACAATGTGTAGTGCCGTGCTGTGTGCGTCCGTGTGTCGACAACACAATGCGTAGTGCCGTGCTGTGTGCGTCCGTGTGTCGACAACACAATGCGTAGTGCCGTGCTGTGTGCGTCCTTGTGTCGTGTCGACAACACAATGTGTAGTGCCGTGCTGTGTGCGTCCGTGTGTCGACAACACAATGTGTAGTGCCGTGCTGTGTGCGTCCTTGTGTCGTGTCGACAACACAATGTGTAGTGCCGTGCTGTGTGCGTCCGTGTGTCGACAACACAATGTGTAGTGCCGTGCTGTGTGCGTCCGTGTGTCGACAACACAATGCGTAGTGCCGTGCTGTGTGCGTCCTTGTGTCGTGTCGACAACACAATGTGTAGTGCCGTGCTGTGTGCGTCCGTGTGTCGACAACACAATGTGTAGTGCCGTGCTGTGTGCGTCCTTGTGTCGTGTCGACAACACAATGTGTAGTGCCGTGCTGTGTGCGTCCTTGTGTCGTGTCGACAACACAATGTGTAGTGCCGTGCTGTGTGCATCTGTCGGTCACGGACTCACCTCGCCCTGTTCACCCACGAGCCTCGAGTTGCCGTCGACGATGTCCGGCCTTTTACGCACAACACAGCCGGCGATTGAGTAGCTGCACAGGTTGTATCACTGTAGTGTGTGGCCTACTACACTTGTGTGAGGTCACCGTTTCCGCCGTGAGATAAGGATGGCTGCTAGTAAACTACTAAATATAGCCCTGTAAGCAACCTTGGGCAGTTTGAGTGTCAGTATCAATGTCAACGTGTGTCTGTGTTTTGCTGTAATTCGGCGTGTGTATCGGTGTGTGTGTTCAAGTGTGTAACCGTGTGTGTCGATGTGGATGTGTGTGTTAATGTGGATGTGTGTGTTAATTGTGTAATTGTCTATGTATGTCACTGTGTATGGTAGCTGTTAATGTGTGGAACTGTAATTATGTGTGTCAGTGCGTTGTGTAACAGTGCGGTTGTCAATGTGTGATGAACTATATGTGTAGCTGTGTGCCTGTCAATTTAACTATAATATCTATCAATGTGTGCAACTATACGTGTCTATGTCCGCGTGTAACTATGTGGATGTAACTCTATGTATGTATATATGGGTGTGTCTTTGTAACTGTACATATATAACTTACCGTGTATATGTCCGTATACGTAACTCTGCCTCTGTATAACTAACGTATGCGTGTGTAATTCTATTCGTGTCTAAACATTAAGTAGCTACGTGTGTTTACCTCTCTGTGTGTAACTCTTCATGTGTCTTTGAAACTGCGCGTGCGAGTCTGTGCTAGACCTGCGTGTGTGTGTGTAACTATCAGTGAATTCCGTGAATCCCGTGCATGTTGAGTGTCCATCCGCTGCTGTTGTGTGCACTTCCGCACCGGGGTGCCCGCCTCCTGCCTCCTGCTCGGGGGGGGGGGGCCTGCCGGGCTGGGCCGAGCTACCACGGAGGGAACGGAGCCGAACAAATTCGCTCACTCACTCCCTTCTCTTCTCTCTCACGCTCCCATCACGCCCTCAACCTCCCTCCTTTCCCCCTCCCAGCCACTCACAAGCCTTCTTCCCCCAACCCTCCCATCACGCTGCTCTCATCTGCCTCCCACCATCTCCCCCAACCCTCCCATCACCCTGCTCTCATCTGCCTCCCACCATCTCCCCCAACCCTCCCATCACCCTGCTCTCATCTGCCTCCCACCATCTCCCCCAACCCTCCCATCACCCTGCTCTCATCTGCCTCCCACCATCTCCCCCAACCCTCCCATCACGCTGCTCTCATCTGCCTCCCACCATCTCCCCCAACCCTCCCATCACCCTGCTCTCATCTGCCTCCCACCATCTCCCCCAACCCTCCCATCACCCTGCTCTCATCTGCCTCCCACCATCTCCCCCAACCCTCCCATCACCCTGCTCTCATCTGCCTCCCACCATCTCCCCCAACCCTCCCATCACGCTGCTCTCATCTGCCTCCCACCATCTCCCCCAACCCTCCCATCACCCTGCTCTCATCTGCCTCCCACCATCTCCCCCAACCCTCCCATCACCCTGCTCTCATCTGCCTCCCACCATCTCCCCCAACCCTCCCATCACCCTGCTCTCATCTGCCTCCCACCATCTCCCCCAACCCTCCCATCACGCTGCTCTCATCTGCCTCCCACCATCTCCCCCAACCCTCCCATCACCCTGCTCTCATCTGCCTCCCACCATCTCCCCCAACCCTCCCATCATCCTGCTCTCATCTGCCTCCCACCATCTCTCCCAACCCTCCCATCACCCTGCTCTCATCTGCCTCCCACCATCTCCCCCAACCCTCCCATCACCCTGCTCTCATCTGCCTCCCACCATCTCCCCCAACCTTCCCATCACCCTGCTCTCATCTGCCTCCCACCATCTCCCCCAACCCTCCCATCACCCTGTTCTCATCTGCCTCCCACCATCTCCCCCAACCCTCCTATCACCCTGTTCTCATCTGCCTCCCACCATCTCCCCCAACCCTCCCATCACGCTGTTCTCATCTGCCTCCCACCATCTCCCCCAACCCTCCCATCACGCTGTTCTCATCTGCCTCCCACCATCTCCCCAACCCTCCCATCACCCTGTTCTCATCTGCCTCCCACCATCTCCCCCAACCCTCCCATCACGCTGTTCTCATCTGCCTCCCACCATCTCCCCCAACCCTCCCATCACGCTGCTCTCATCTGCCTCCCACCATCTCCCCCAACCTTCCCATCACCCTGCTCTCATCTGCCTCCCACCATCTCCCCCAACCCTCCCATCACCCTGTTCTCATCTGCCTCCCACCATCTCCCCCAACCCTCCCATCACGCTGTTCTCATCTGCCTCTCACCATCTCCCCCAACCCTCCCATCACGCTGCTCTCATCTGCCTCCCACCATCTCCCCCAACCCTCCCATCACGCTGCTCTCATCTGCCTCCCACCATCTCCCCCAACCCTCCCATCACGCTGCTCTCATCTGCCTCCCACCATCTCCCCCAACTCTCCCATCACGCTGCTCTCATCTGCCTCCCACCATCTCCCCTAACCCTCCCATCACCCTGCTCTCATCTGCCTCCCACCATCTCCCCCAACCCTCCCATCATCCTGCTCTCATCTGCCTCTCACCATCTCCCCCAACCCTGCTCTTCCATCTCCCATTTCCCTCCCGTGAGTCTTTTATTTTGCAATGCCCTTGGAGAGGGACAATAAGCACGGAGTCATTAAAACCGAGGTCGAAAGAAGGCGCCAATCATTGAAATCGTAGTTTGTGTGTTTTTTTTATATATTTTTTTTATTGTGCCCTTCATTCTCTTTACAAAGCATCTGTGAATACAGTACATGCCATTTTATTGTCGAACCATTCCATTTTCCACTTTAAATATTCTGTACGTGCATTGCAATCGAATACAATCAGATTCCAATGTTTAATTGGCAATGATGTATTCATCACACGATTCTTATAATGGTACGTTGCTGACATTCCATTCTCTCCAGTGGAGATGTACAGCCCTACAATTGCTCGCTCCCACCACTTCTGTTGGAAGAGCTACCACTAGGGGGAGCTCAATAGACCCCTTTTAGAGTGTACTTGGCATACTCTTCCAAACTGGTTAGACGTAATCGTAGAGGTGGGAGTATCCACATTTTACCACACCATATGTGACGTTCCGATCGACTGTGGTGGACCCATTTATGCTTCTGGGTGAATACGTTGGGGGGATTTAAGAAACTTGAACATTATTTTTACTCCAGCATTGTACTAAACATTACATCACAGTGTATTGTGAAAGATTTTATTTGGTAAACTAACCTATTTGGTGTTCAAACATTACATTCCCCGAATGAGATGTGGATAATCTATAGTCACTCGCGCATACCCTTGACTACTTTGCGCAAGAGCGCAGAAGCGTGGTCACCACATTTATGCCTCTATATAAGGAACGAAACAGACTTCTCCACAAATCTGGCTGTCGCCTGATGAAGCTAGTTGTAGTTACTGGCGAGACGTCGTACTCAGTCTGTAAATGTTGTGGCTTGGCTCTTCAACACACCGGTGCACTGTACTAGTGACGAATTGGCATGTTCTGTTTACGTGACAACCCTTACTAGTTGGCTGTGTCGGGTAGTGGCGGGTTTTAACGACAAATTCATATATTTACGTGATTTAACCCAAAAAAAAACTATTATGGATATTGATCGAGAAAGCCTACGTGTTAAACTGACACTGTTCCCTTTCACAGATTTATCTTAACATTGTCTGTCCAAGCAGCCACAGCACCACGGATAACAAGGACAGCACGGTGCAGATAGATGGATGTGAGTGATGAACAATTGTGTAGCCTGGAACTGGCGGCCATCAGAGACGCCAGGAGCAATCTGATCTATATGTCTCCCTCTTCTTGGTTCTTTCGGTAAAGTCACGTAGAAGGGAAGTAATAAAATAATAAAAATAAAACATAATAAAATTATTCTCACGACGTTTCGGCCACAACGCAAGCAGCCGTCCTCGACGGACCTGGTTTTCACCTGAGGACGGCTGCTTGCGTTGTGGCTGAAACGTCGTGAGAATAATTTTATTATGTTTTATTTTTATTATTTTATTACTTCCCTTCTACGTGAATTTACCGAAAGAACCAAGAAGATGAATCCCTGCAGTCACGAAAGCTTTAAATCATGTCTCCCTCTGTTACGTTCCCAGCAAGAACACAAAGGACAGTGTAAATTGTATTTCTATTTTTTTTTTTACCGGACCCATCCACAGCACCTCTCTGCCAAAAGTTGTCAAGTATGTCAGACAGGTCTTGCCGGTACTAACCACAGGTGTAGCCAATATAATTCCAAGTGTGTGAGTGTACATTTATCACTGTGTTTACATAACAATTATGTCTCCAATTCATCATCTTGGTCATGCATAGTTGGTGTGGGAGATCTGCAAATCTGGCAAAGATGACAAGAGCCTGCATGGAGATTAACCAGTACTTGAGTGCATGAGGCTTCCTTACTGTATGGATTTCTATGACTTGTACGTTGATCAGTAGGTGGTGGGGTAGAGTGTGGCTATTCACACCTCTTGCAAGTCGTCTGGCTAGCATGAAAGAGTAGGCCAAAATACATTTAGAGGAGATCGCTAGAGATCACACTAGTTGAGGACCTTAAGCCAACAGTACAGTGACCAATCAATTGCAGGGCTGCACCTTTGCCTCTTATTTTACCCATGTCAAAAGGCAATAGCCGCCTTGTCTGGCATAGAAGCCTTAAAAGGTATTCAGCTACTCTCTTAAAATAACAAGCAGTGTATTTAAACACCAGGTCCTACATTTCCATTGTAAAGTGAGTGTGGTTAGAACATGTATGCTTGCCTTTGGTGCTACATGTTCTGAGATTATCGGGCAAGTTGTCTAATAACAATTTACATTTCAAGAATATGAAGAAATACAAATATGCAATCTAAGCAGCAATTTGTTTTCATTAACAAATGCTGTCATAGTTGGCTCGTATTTTATGCACAATTTGGTATTCTGTTTTGACTGACAGTGTTAATGTATGTGTAGTGACATAGAATTGGTCACTATGTAGCATAGCGCTGGTCCCTGGCAGAGAAGGGGATCTGCAGTTGCAGCAGCCCTGTCTGACAGCAGGTCACGTGATAAACCAGAGAGAGAGATGCAAGGGAAAGGTTATAGAGGGGGCCACGTGAGGGAAGCCCGGGAACCCGCTAGTAGGTTCTAGAAAGGGGGTGTGGCTGTGGCGGAGCGCTGGCAGGATAAAAGGGGACCCCGAGCGAGAGCTCGGGGCTGTTGCTTGGTGTGAGATCCCGTCGTGCTGCTGGAGTCGTCACCGCCGTTTATTTCTTCACCTGCTCGGCGTCGTCAGTCAGGCAGCCTGCATGCTGTCCTGACTGGGAGCTGTAGTTACTCTGTGTGGAGAGTGAAGGCTGTTAATAAAGAGTGCCTCCGACTCTTAGTGTCTCTGAGTCAATAACTACATATGTACAAGAGTGAATGCCAATCTAGTTTGCAATTCGTACAGGTTACAGTGAGGCATGTGCATGGGCATATGCAACTCATTGCTGGAGGGATGATGTAAATGTATCTGCCGTGCACTCAATATGGATTAAAACAGTCTGGACTGTACATAGTGTAGTGTTGTAGAGGACGGACAACACTACAACTGGTGTCAGAAGTGGGGTATACGGTCCCCTTACCCATTAACCTGAGGAGATACAGCCTCCGACCCTGCACAGCTCACACTCACACTTCGCTCCTATTCTAAGGAGCTACAGCCTCCGGACTTGCCGGCTATGTGATCTCCCCGCTAGCCTAGCGTCCTCCGGCTGGGACCTAGGGGAGGCACACTGACCCGCTGCTGGCCCGGCGGGTCCCCGACCTTTGGTCGCTCAAGACCTTTGCCCTCACAAGGCGGGAAGGCTGGGAGCCAGGGTCCTATCCAGGACCTATCTTCCCTGACCACTGGTTACACTGAGCCCCAGCCCTGACAAGGGCTGGAAGGCTTGGTCCAGGGTCCTAGCTGTCTTCGGCCGACTTGGGTCTTCGTGTAGCAGAACTAACCAAGAGCTCTCAGCGTTCCGGCTTTTATACCTGTCCGTGGCCGGGTTGACCAATCCCTGGCCACGTCGTGGACCTCGTCCGATTGGTCCTTCCCAATCTGGCGTTTGGATCCTACCTCACCCCATTTGACCCTAACTGTTTGATTGAGCGGGAAAACCTTGTTTACTAACTGCTCTCTCACAGCTTGTGAACAGCGAGTAGTTATCGCCACTACAATAGTATAACAACCTGATTTATTTAGATGTTTCTCCCACAAAAGAGAGTGGTGGCAAAGTAAGGATTGGAGGCAGCCACCTCTAACACAACTTTCGTTCACATTTACTAAATCCCCTTCTCGAGTACAAATAGTGGCATTCTCGTTTTACATTTGTGGAGGCATCTGCGGTTCACCGAACACAATTCTGATAGGCCCCACTCACTCCCCCTTATCCTCTTTCAATTATAGTGCACTGCATACCATTAATGTTACGCTGAGTCCTCGTGTAGCAATTTTATGGAGCAATGACAGGACAATTGGCGTGACGACCTTCCTCTCTGTCATTCCTTTGCTGCTCAGTGGTCCACCAAAACGATCACTCTTGAGTACAATTAAGTGCAACTTCTCCAAGTGAAAACAGTCTGATAAAGGTGATAGAGGTGTCAGTTGACATGCCTATGTTGAAAACCCAAAGGCAGCTACCATGTTATAATCTAGTCAACAATCCCCCCCCAAGCTCTAACCATACACCATCCATCATGAAGCATGTCGCAGAAAGCATAGCCACATCACTCAGTTGTCATCAAATGATTTTCGGGGCTGACCAAGACTTGTGATAATCACAGATAATTTCTGGTTTGAGTGTGTAGCACATTTAGCTTTTTTTAAAATTTGTGTTGCTCTATGTCACTCGCCAAGTATCACTATGCGTGGACCGAGGTCCACCATCAGAGGATCAAGCATCTCTGTGGTACTCCTCCTGGCTCGTGAGCCGCTGAGCCAGGCGGTGCCCTCGGCGAGGCGACAGAGAACGCATCAGCTCGGAGGCCAGGACAGCGACGGGCTCGTCAATAAAGTGTGGGCGGCCGACGCGCCAACAGCACAGCAGGGCCAGGGCCTGCTCACATTTGTCGTGCGGCGAGCGGAGGCGCAGCGCCTGAATGCGACCACGTCCCACGCCCAGGCGCCGCACCACCTTCTCCACCTCGGCTGCACTCAGCTCCTGGGCCAGCCAACGCAGATCCCGCAGCCCAAGAGGTCCTGTCTCCAGACAATGGTGCATTCAGAGCATACACTCAAATGAAATATGTACTTTTTCAAGTAATAGAGCCGTGTTCTTTCACGGAGAGCTGTTCATGACTTCCAGGGAGGTCTCTGTTTCAACAACAGCATCCATTATATCAACATTTGCTCGCAGTGGCAAACAAGAGTTGCCTAAATGTTTATTGAGCAATGAACGTACTGACAAGATGAACCATCACGGAAGTTCTTTATTTTGTAAACCACCAAGCAGGTGCGTTTGAACAAACCGAAGTGGGGGCGGGGAATGAAGTCAAGGGGGCCAATTAAGGATATATAGTGGGCAACACAAATGGCTTCCATCCTCATACAAGATTTAGGCAAATTTAGGAGGCAGCTGCTTTCCCATCCCTGACACAGTTCCTATCTCCATGCCACTGACAAATACAGGTATCCCTAGATTTATGAAAGGGATGCGTAAAAGCAAATTTCGTAAATCGAAATGGCTTTTCCCATTAATTTAAGACAAAAAAATTGGGATGTGTTTCAGACATTCCAACTCTATTCATAACCTATATCAATTTTCACAATACAAACATAATAAACAGCATATTAAAACGATTGAATAATATCTTCTTGGTTCTTTCTTTAAAGGTTGAATAATAATTAGTTTAAAACTAAAAAAAGAATGAAACTTTTTAGGGTACTAACCAAAAGATGTTGTAATGACTGGAATGGTGATGTGGAGGCGTTATTGTTGCACTTAAAGGATATATTTACACTGCTTCAGATGGATGATGATGCTTCGTGTTTGATTTCATGGCATGTGCCATGTGTTATATCGCGCACGCAGAAATTCGATTTCGTTAATCGAAAAGTGTCCAAACTTTCTCAATTGTATTAACACGAAATTGTATCAACCGAATGCTCATAAATCGAGGGATACCTGTATTTGAGTAGACTGTGATTATTCTTTGTGACTTATGGGAAAATATTTTTCATGATAAGTGTACAGCAAAGTGCCTCAACATAGCAAAAAACCAAGCACATTTTTCCGAGTCTACAAATTGATATTCATTTGTGACTTACGGAATTAAACATGTAATGGATGGAATATAAATATATATTATCGCTCACCGTTCATATTGAAATACACTTTTATCAGATGAAATATGAATGGTGTCATTAAATTTTCATCGTTCTACGGGGATGCAATACGCTTGACTCACCATCCTCTGGGATGAGGCACTGGTACAGACTTGGCCCACGGTGGACCTGGCATTGTACCTGGAATATGACAACGCATTGAGATTTTTAAATCGTCAATATAACAATCTCTAAAAGGCCGAATAAATAATGTGTTTTTCTATGTCTCACTATTTTTTATATATATACAAACAGCCCCCGGGTTGCTGAAGACTCGACTTACGAAATCCGACCTTGTGGAAATGCTCCCATAAATAATGTAAAAAAAATCAAATATGCGGAAATATTTGCGTTAGTTACGGCAGCGAAAGTAGTGCAGCGTGGTGAGGTTGCGGATAAATACCGCGGAGTGATTGCTTATGGTCTCAGCCAACATCGATCGGAGAAGTCTAGGCCGAGCCTAACGCACGGAAAAACGAACATTCGGAAGTGACTGCTTTCTGTTAACAATGCTAAAATGTTTCGTAGTATTCATACATAATTAGATAGAGTATATGCTTCGTTAATTTAATAATGGGCAGTGTTAGGATGAAAGTGAAAGAATCATAGGAAGTGCAGAGCGTATGTACAGTGATACGATACAGGTAGCGATCGAAAACGGACGACAGCGCGATACGGTACTGAGAAAAAACGAAATAGTAATCGGGTAGGGTGAGGCACAACTATTTCCGATTATGGGATTTATCTTGATTTGGGGCTGGAAATTGTTCAGTTTCTGACATACGTAAAATTCCGGTTACGGATCAGTTCTCGAAAACCTAACCCTTATATAACCCAAGGACTGCCTGTATAAAGTTTACCTATAAATATCTTGTTTTTATTATGGCTGAAGACAAGGATTTTTAGATGGTATTTTTGGCACACAAAGATGAGGGCATAGCATATATCTGTGCATTTATTGTGTATGCGACTACTACTGATCAGTGTAAATGAGACAATACACTTTGGAATTAAGCCCTGGGATTTTGACATTCGTGCGCTCGCCTTTGGGAGGGTGAGTGCCAGCGAGCAGAGCTGCAGGTGCCCTCGCCCCCTGCTGGCAGTCGTCACATGCAGCGCGCCTCGGTAGTTCTGATGTCCGCGGTTCGCGAAGGGGTCCCGCTCACACAGACGCAGCTGCAGCCGAGAGTGACGATGAGCGTGGAACGTGAGCCTCTGCTCGCCCTCGGGAACCGCGACCGCAACCTCGCCCAACGCCATTTGAGTGCTGTAAATTCAGCCGCGTCAAATAAAATACTGTAACACACAAAAGTATGCGTTGGCAGTGGTGTGGAGACACATAGGCTTAAAATACTTTACCATCATCATTACTAACACACTGCCTAAAAAGTGATACAAATATGGAGTATATCATCACCAGACATGATCAATCTGCTGCTGGATGAAGACCTCTCTTTAGTCGCCACCAGCTCTCGCAGAATTTGCGATGTAATGATGAGCCACCTCGCAGCTGCATATGCGCTGAATTAATACATCTCGGTGATGTAGTGTTCCATCCATTAAATATTAAGATGAACGTCGTGGCTAAGTACATTTGCGGTGTTTGTTATGTAATATATAAGCAGAAAATTGTTAATTTATCAAATGTTTCTCAGAATTTGGTGGATTTTTTAAGCTACCACATTGAGATAAAAATGAAAGTCTTCAATCCTCCCTCTGCTTGAAAATAGTGCGAGTGGCCAAAACATCGGCTTATCACGTTTCCATTAAAAGGGGAGTTGTCCCGATGACAGTGGTGAAGAAGTTGCATGCTCTTAACAAGATGTGGTATGATCAAACTAGGCCCATGACTGAGAGGCCTTCATCCAGCAGTGACTTGACAATGGGCTGTAAATTGTAAAACTATTTCCTGCACAGATGAGCATTGAAGTAGTACTCATCTTCTGTTTAAAGCCCCGAGCCAGTGGTGAAAATTAAGCATTCATATGCCAGGGGTCAGCCTATTCATATGACAACCACGGTTGATTTCCGAATATGTACTCGTTTTATCGACCCCAAAATTATGATGGGCTGAGTCAACCCTCGAACAGAATTTGAACATGCAATCTTTTAAGTGTGAGCCGTTTGTTCTACTACTGAGCCACCCGGCAGGACTAGAAATTATACGTACTGTATCATCTGTACATTGTGCAGATGGCCGCACCTATGGGAGAGCTAATTAAGGTTTACCGGGGACAGGAAGTTGGCCGCAATGATGGGATTCATATCTGTCTTTGTCTCTTTGAACTGGTCACATGGCAGCTTTGTGGTTTCTTTATCAACTGCACAAGGATTATTTACTTTGTGAGGTCTTGATCCTGAAAGGTGCTATAAAAATGTAATGTAGCCTTACTAAAATCAGTGAACCTAACCAATGCGTTGCAGGTATTTCCGATGGGAAAATCATTCCAAAGCAAAACATAACACAAGTAAAAAACTACAAACTTGATTTGAAGCTTTCGTGACTGCAGGAATTAATATTTGGTTCTTTCAGTAAAGTCATGTAGAAATAAAATAAATTAAATAATAGAATACGACGTTTCGATTGCAACACAAGAAATCGTCATTAGGTAAGAATGAATAATAAAACAAACCGAGTCAACTTAGAAATATAATGCAATACAACACTTGAAAAACTACTTTCTTTTTTGACATTTAGCGTCCAAAATGTATGAATATAGCTCTAAGTCAAATTAATTTTATCTTGCAAGGTATAATCATAAGACACTGTTTCACCTAGGTTAAGGTGACCCAATGACATTGTGCATAATTAGCACACCTGCAGAGTGGTAACGATGTTTCGATTGTGCCCTGAGAAAAAACTGCTGTCATTAATTTTACAGGACAGCCAATTTGCAGATGATGAAAACATGAAAGCAGCACTTCACGTTTATGCGTATTGATGCCTGCGCTGTGGTTACGTGACCCTGAAAGGGGGCGCATCTGACCTCACGCCAGTCCTGATAGCCATGACATTTCCAGTGCTTGTGAAGTGGAGATACAACTCCTGTCCTTCGTGCGCCGGGAAGGGATGGCTGGGCCCGGGAGGACCACTGAAGCCAGCCTTCTGCAGGGCCTCTTCAGCCTCCTCCAGTCCACTCAGCGCGCAGCATACCACAGCCAGCCGGCTTACGTCTGCCCCGTGCCGCTGTGCCAGCACGACCGCCTGGCGTGACCGCACGGCCTCTACAACGGCTCCCGCCATTGCAACCCCGCGGCTCCGGGCCGCCAGCCTGAGCAGCAGCAGCCTGTGCGTGAGAGGGATGTGCACTAGGTCACTGGGCCAATCATGGAACATGGGAGCCATGATACATTGCATAGACTTTGAGCTTATGCCAGAACACAATCTAAATATATATGGTATAGGTCATTCATATCATTTTCAGATGGATGGTCCTGTAGTAAAGGCCCATCTCATATAAAGAAGGTCAATTAATTAAAACAATTGTCTTAAGTTGATTCAGCCCATCATCTCGCTCGGGTCAGGAAAATATTACAACTTTGTGGAATGTCAACTATGGCTGTCCTCTAGAGAGACTGACCCCTGCCGTTAAAATGTGGAATTTCTAACACTGGATCTACCCAACGCATTTCTGAGCAAAGATACACTGATCTCTTTTATACGTTGCATTACTGTTTAATTGTACAGGAAATAATAATGCACCACCACTACCTTTTAAGTATATCCTTAGGGCAATATTTACAGCCTCCTCAGCCATAATCGTTTAGCGCTCCATGTATTATGTTGTAAGCACGACATAAATAATTGTAAAAATCCACTTACGGTAATTTACTTGATTTCATTGCATGCAGCTGAAATGATGGCTAATGGGTAGCATTAATATAGTTGCTTGTACTTGGGCAATATGCTTTGTGGCTTAGACGTAAAGGTCGTGCAGTTATTAAATATCCAAAAACTCCTTACCGAACACGGCTTTGATTGGCTCACCTCCTCACTGGCCGGTGAAGCTCGACCTGCACAGAGTCACTCTTCCTGCTCAATATCCTCACGTCGCTGAGCTCAGTCCAGTGTCCTCCCACTGTGGGCTGGGCCACCAGGCGAAGGACCTCGTCATCCTGTTTTCTGATGTGTCGAGTTGTCACTGTGTACACATGCACTCGTTAAATACAGATATCCTGTTTCAAAATGCACAGACTATTGGGCTCATGCCATTTCAACGGAGCAACATCATAATGGATAAAACGTACACTTAATACCAGTTTTAGAAAATAGCTGACACGTAAGCAATTAAATCTGTATCGTACAACCAGACAATTATTGTTGTAAATATCAACTTGGAAATTTAGGGGCCGTCCATAAATGACGTCACGCACCGAGGGGGGGGGGGAGGGGGTCAAACGTTTATGACGATGTGTGACGAGGGGGTAATGGGGGGTTTGAGAAATGTGACGTCACATCAACATGCGCAACTTTAAATACATATTAACGGAATAGAATTGTTATAACAACACTCATTTTGATTAATTTTCATTCTTAACTATTTGATTATTTACTAAGGTCACCTTTTATTAATTCCATGAAGGAGCATTTTTCTTCTCCATGGGAGAATGGAGAAGCATACATTTAGAATTTTTTTTGAATGATTGTTATTAAACATTTTGATTCTAATGATTCTACCAGGGCTTTTCATTGTGAAATGAATATGTGATTGTTATAAATGTACTCTCCATTTTGCTTCGTTATACTACAAAGTTTGAAGTATTTTTTTATAGTTATAATTACTTTTAATATTTTATAATTTTAAGAGAATTTCAATATAATATTCTGAACATCTACAATTTTAGTTAGACGCTGAATATTTTCAAGTTAATTTTATGCTAAATTTCAGCTTTCCAACGCCTCCTTTTTAATACATGTTTTCTCCTACAACATCAGAGTGCAGTGCCACATTAAATACACACTATAATGACAATAGTTTAAAGTGATTTGAAGGATGTTTTATTTTCAAATTAGAAATTAGGTTTTGGAGGGGGGGGCAGAGCTTTGTGACGTCATATTTGAGGGGGATCTGACTTTTTGTGACGCCGTGTGACGAGGGGGGGGAGGGTAAAAAATCGGCTAAAATCGCTTGACGTCATTTATGGACGGCCCCTTAATACAGAATATGTAATTTTAAATCCACAAGTATATTTTGAAATTGACAAGTCGTTATCAGCACTTTTGAGTGGGGATGTAAAAAGCTGGATATATTTTCTATTGGCATTAAATGTCCCTATTTGTTAGCCGCGTATTCATGTTATGTCGTATATTTAGCCTGTGTGTTGTCACCATGCTGTGTTGTTGAAATCGCCCTACCGCTTCTTCCCACGTGACTCGACACAGTAGGCACTGTCCTGGCCCTCACCCCGACAGCGAACCGGGGGCACGGCAACACCAAAACCAGCGGCCGCATAAATCTAGCAGCACCGCCGAGGCTCACGATGGGGCTTGTGGCAATTAAACACGCGTCGGCATCGCGGGGGTCCCGGGCGGTTTGCAAGCTCGCGACCACCGCCACTGGGACCGGCTGCACCTGTGGGATCCGATACCAGCAACGCCAAGTTATGCCATGCTCATAACTCAGACTGTGCCGTGCCGTCGCGACACAAACTCGTGACGTTATGTCAGCTGTTATGATGGCCACGGAGTATTCGCTCAGCACCACGGCAGGATCACGGTGTCCTCATTCGAGTCATTGGCGTACATTACAGGCATAGCCTTACACTTGACCTCATCAGTTAAGCATTGCATGCTTCAAATGCTCCAATTAAATGGAGCCGGGCGAATCAATTTTGCATTTGTATGAGAATGTTAGATTTAACATATACACTATTATTACACATGACATGGCATTACAAAAATACAGTACATCTGCATATATATGAACTACCTAACTCGTGATTATGTAAGTTCTATAAGGCTAAAATGGTTAGTTTAGCTGGGCGGTGGTGGAAAACGCTTGTAATCTAGCACTGGAGGTGAAGGTTGGTGGATGGAACGTTTTACAAAATATTGCGAGACTCCCTTCCCATCGCCATCGAGGTAAAACACCTTAGCTCGCCAAAAGAATGCAGTACAGCAAAGTGTGGACTGATATAATTGGTTCCTTCTGTATGGGATAGAGTGTTGCCCCCTTACATGCGTGGGATTTCTCCGGGTGCTCCTGTTTCCTCCCACATTTATAAACACTCACTAATTGTCTGAAAACATATTCATATATATAGAGCAGGTTGATTGTTGGCACAGCCTGACAGCCTTCCAGCTTGGTTTGTGGTTCCTCAGCGATTTTTAGTTGCGATTTTTATTAGCAATGCTGCATAAAATGAATTATATTTTAGTCCATTTGACAAAGGTTAGGCGCGTGACATGTAATTGAAGCTCAATTAACGATTCATGTGGACTCTAAAGAGGGCAGATAATATGCTTGCACGCGTCTGCTGCATTGCATATATTGCTGTGAATGTCAGTGGGTTTTTTCATGTTAACATAATTCTGACTTAATGGCTAGGGTATAATAAATAATAATTATATTTACTGCAGTACTAATGATAATTTATCCTGATAATCTATCGGGAGGCACGAGGCTTTATGCGACGTGCATAGATTGTAGCATACCATCATAAACCACGTATTGAAACAAAGAGAAAGTCCATTTCTTGGACTGCAATGCCCAGCTTGCCAATGTCACCAAAGCCTAAAAGCCATGGGCAGGCATGCAGTGAACTTAAAACAAACACGGATCTCCCGCACCGCCTAGTACTTTAATGGCGGACGGCAAGTGCATCCACCGGTTTGAATCATAACTCTGGGATCAGGCAGCGTCATGGCTCTTAAAATATAGAATTAATAACAGTCATGGAAGAAAAGCCCTGCCTATGGCCACATCTCATTGGATCTCGGATGTTAAGCAGGTTTGAGTCTACATGTAGTGCTTAGATTGGCGACCTCCGTGCATAAAACATGTGCTGTAGGCGCTGGGGCACCATGTTGCCAGCAGAGGGCAGTAGAGAAAAGTAAGTTATTGGACTGCACTGTGCTCCAACGTGTATGCCCCCCCACCCCGACTCCTCAAAATCCCACATTGACCAGCATGAACCATGGTTTAAATAATCCCCGCGATCCGCACATCATGGAGAGGCTGTCATTCAGCATTGGATTGGTAAATGCAGATTACTGTAAGTATATAAGCCCGAGTGAGATGTGTATCACGGTGATGACGCTCTCGCCCTGCTGGCAGCACCTGCAGTGACAGCTGCACGGATGATTTGGTGAAGTCCTCTGGGATGTTGAGGAGGATGCGAGGATCGACGCTCGATTTGAAGGATCCTCCTTCCTTGTCCACCAGAAGGAGCTCATTGGTGAGACGCAGCACCACGGCTATGGTCGGTAGCTCGTGCAGTGAAAACTCGGCAAATACGTCATCCTGCGTTCCATTTGGCACAACGTTTCAAGCTCACGTTCGCGCACTGCAATTGACAATTTTCACAGTGCGCAACTTCATCTGCCAGAAACTTACCATTGGAGACAACAACTCCCAAGGTGGCGGCTCACCTCGCTGTCCGGATAGACGCAGTCCAGAACTTTGGGTAGGATGACCTCCCACTGTGGACCACCGCGCCAGATCTTGCCCACGACCTCGCCTGCCAGGCTGCCGGGCCCGCGCACGGTGTAGGGCACGCAGATGGTGACGGCTTGGGGCAGGCGCTGCCCCTTTGGCTGCAGGCACAGCACGTGGCTGAGCAGCTCTTGATAGTCATCCTCACTCTGCTGCTGATGATGCTGGTAACGATCACTGAGATAACACGAGACTCCCAGATCCTCCAGGAGGTGTTGGGGGCCACGGATAAGGCAGGCTACCTCCGGCTCACCATCCCAGCCCGTCACCAGCAAACTGCATGCAAACATGGTGATGGGAGGGTGGCACGTTTTCTTCTTGACAGTCTTATTGCTGATGTTGATGGTTGGGAAACTGCCACCCTACCAAATGAGCGATTCCCTGACCTACAATGTTGTATAGCACATTCTTAATTTATAATACGGTGATCTATACTATATTGTTACTGTTTTTTTTTTTAATGGTTTCAGTGAGGATTTATTTTATACAAAATTATAGTACGGATTTTAAACTCACTCTCATTACAGACTTAACACGGTTGTGAATCCCCAGTACCAATAACCATTCGGTTGTGATGCCGCAGAACCTGTTCACATTTTTCATGAGCCGACATCGGATTGTATCCTTTCCCGTGTATATGAAAAAAAACTACTAGCTCTAACATTCATTGTAAGCAATTCAACACGTTTATATGTCACATAATACTTCACCACACCATTCGTTGAGTTAAGGGTTTTAAGGTAATGAAATCGACATAACAAGTACGTACTCAAATACGCATGACCAGATTTTAACATGGTATTACAAATATTATTTTGATGATGGCTAATGTGGTACATTAGAATAAATTTTGCCAGGAATGCTTCTTTGTGACTGAGCAGATCATCTCCGAATATTAAAACTGTGTGTGTGAAAATATTAAGGATAACTAAATCACTGCCAATGTTTTCATTCACATTGCTTTTAAGTAATTAATGTCCAACAGCTCTCGATTCATTATTTGTGATGTTTTATTCATAATGCACAAACCTGGCCCTTTTTAGTTTTAGACTACGATATAAAGAATATACGGATATACTCCTTGTGTAAATAGCATAGATTGTGTATTGAACATAAAATGTGTTATGTTGTATATACAAGAGTGAATTTACCTTTTTGTCACGTATCCGTTAGTCTCCTTATCTTTTGTTTGTGCGATGTGTTCTTTTGTAGTGTAGTTACAGAGTTCATTATCTTGTCGGTCACAAGGTAAGGAGCCAACCTGCTCATTCGCAAGCATGGCTGAACTATAAAATGGAATCTCATTTTCATCGGGATCCAATTGACTAACATGAGCGTCTTCACTGCATATACCAGGCACAACTTTGAGACTGGCCTGGTGCGCCTGAAACATAATTTCACTTTTTTTGTCATTGTGCTTCATTGCATTTTCCTGAGATTTTCCCGTGCTGTGACCATTTCTTTCGGCTTCACTTCCGTGTTTTAAACGTGCACCCTCTTCAATTTGCTCACTCATCTCGCGTGACTGGATGTCCGTGCTGCTTGCATCGAGACCTGTTTTATTAGTGTCACATTTATCTGAAATCTCATCACTTTCCTCAAAGTCTGACTCTTGCATGTATAACTCATCCATGTATTTCATGACAGAGTGTATGTCCTGCTCATACACGTTGTCTTCTTGTTGTTCTTCAGAACGTTCTCTAAACTGCGTGCTGTCTTCATGACACATGTCCCTTTCCTTGTGGCTCTCGTCTGTGGAGCTTGTGCTGTTTATCAAGTCGGTATCGTTTTCTACATTAGGACTTTCATGGCTTAACTTTGATTGAATGCCATGACTTCTGTCCAATCGAAATTCGCCCCTGGTGTTTTTCTTCTCACAATCTGAAATCTCTCCACTGTCGGAATCATCATGGTCGGTCGTGCGTTCCTTCCCCCTGCCCTGCAGCACTTCAGACCCATCCGCTTTGCTATGAATGGTCTGTAAAGACCCCGTTAGATGATCTTCCGGAACTTGTACAAATGTGTATTTTCCTTGTCCATCAGTTGCTTCACATTTTTCTCCACTCGAGACTTCGGAATCAATGTGTTCCATGGTGCTGCTCCAAAACAACCACTCTGGCACAAACACCTACAGCTACATCATCAAATGTAATGGATTGTAAACGCCGCCCAACCACCTTTTCCCCATAAGGCAGAGAGTTAAAGATAATGGTGGCACATTGTGTTGGCTTCTGATTATTGTCGCAGCAGCCATGTTTATATATACCCTATTCATTATATCTTATGTCCAGTTTAAAACTGGTAATTTCATCTCACTCTCATATAATGCAGTGTTAATACACGTAATGAAAATTAATTAAATTCTGTAAAAAAATTACATTGAATGTAATTAATTACTTTGAGTATAAAATAAATGTAGGATGTCAGTGTACCCAGGTAATTATGTAGTCACTATAGCTTCTTACATTTGTTAATATAAGGGCATTTCAAAGAATAACTTTAGTAAAAGTATTTGTAATTGAATATGAACGTGTAATAAACCACTGAATATTATAATAGCGTAATGCTCAATAAAATGAAATCCCGTTATTTACATAAAAGGCAAGTAAACATACAGTACGAGACATAATTTTAAGTTGCATTAAATACTTGGAAAATCCACACAACGATCGCTTATAAATTAGCCTTCGGGTGGCATTAATCATGGAATTGATACTCCTGAGAACAATGAATTACACCTACTACGCTAATGCATTGTTCTTATAAAACTTGGCTCTAACATTAGCATTTGTAATTGCATACCCCGCGTCGTATGTAATGCAGTGAAACAAAGAAAACATACCTGTTGATGTTCTCTATGAAAATACGTTCGTTGTCTTTCCTGGCCTGCGCGCCTGTCCTCGTTGCTATGTGCTTCTGCGTATACAAAGCAGCTTTCTTTTGTACCGCGGAACTGGAGACCAGATGCTGTCAGCAGCTCAGTAAATATTTATTCAGGACTTCCGGCATATGGGATCAAACCTTAATGTGTGCTTAGTAGTTTATACTTTTTCCAAAGCCGATTTAGATGCCCCATATGTGAAATTGTAAGAGTACTGGTTCATAAGAGCAAAATTTGGCTATAATTTTTAACTTGCGGTGTCTGATCTAATTCATCACTCAAGTGTTTCAGTTTGGCCAGTGTAGTTACGATTTTCTTCTGTAGGTCCTGCCAGTCCACTCAGCAGCGACAATCCCCTTTGTTTTACTTGAGAATGCATTCAAATTAAAATATTCTTCTGAAGACAAGTGTATATGCAGATACATGTTTAGAACTCGGCTTAAGTCATGTAGTGTATTTAAAAACAAAAGGTAGCAAGACGTGAATGCAACATCAACATATATTACTAGCTTGTTTGCCCATCCTAGGACGGAAGCTATAATATTTACGAAAAAATTGAGCAGAATATAATTGTATCGTGTAAATTTAATGGCAGTGAATCTTGCACTAAAGTATGTCATCAAACACTTCACTGCATTTGACTGTAGCACTGTATTAATGGCAGTGAATCTGGCACAAAACGAAGTCATAAAACACTTCACTGCAGTTCACTGTAACACTTTATTAATGGAAGTGATTCTTGCACAAAACTACGTCATGAAACACCGCACTTCATGTAACTATATTACTGTATATAACTGACCTTCAATTTGTTCAAATCCACTGCTCTGATACTTTATTATCTTCTGCTTTCGGTCGCTGGGGTTGAAATAAATTGGAAATCGATACAATATCTGGAAAATCACCGATAAATGTCTATTTTACCATAATGTAGAAGCATAAATTAGACTTACCTTTTGTCTCAAGTGCTGAAGAAATAAAGACACCAAATCCACTTTGTTGCTGCGTAGAATATTAGATTAACTTTCAATAAAGAAACGTCAAACTTAAAGCAAATTTGCGATTTTTATTTATTTCCGCTCGACCTTCTCCGTTCGTGGAAAAATCCACCCGCTCATGAATATTAATAACAGGGGGGGGGGGGGGTGTGCATGTTGAGTGACGTCACACGCGGGACACACAGACAGACATTCATGGTTCATCATAGTAGTAATTATTTTATTTGACATGAACATTCACTGTGAAATTGCAATTTGAAAGTCTATTCATTCTGCTACCCATTGTGAATCGATGTATGGTGTCATGTTCAAAAATCCAGTTTTCTAGGTCATACTGAGATAATATTGTTCTGAAAATTTTATTACACCCATTTTCAGAATTGTTTTGGAATGACATTCACATAACCCCTATAGTACTAGTCTCAACCTTATTCTATGGGAACCTCATTTGCCAGTAAAAATATGATAATTGGTTTTTTACCCTTCTATCTGGCAATTATCATATTTTTACTGGCAAATGAGGTTCCCATAGTGTAGATGCTTGCCCCGAGCTCTCATACTCTGATGGTGCATTGTCTTTGAGTTGTGTGCCTTTTGGCGTCATCTGGTCCAACCCATGTGAGACTAGGCTCTAAGGAAAGCTGTCTCGGGTGTGGACCAATCAACTTCAAGGACAGTACACATTATCAGAGTTATGTTCTTTTGTTTGTATTATGACTGCAGGTATTGCGGTCTATGCAAACATGACTCCTTGTAAAAAGGTGTCAGTTTTGTTGCCAGATAGAAGGGTAAAAAAACAATTATAGTCTCAACCTCTTTAATATAATTGTTGTGGGTATCAACTTCGAGGGAGACTTCTCCCTTGGAGGCAATGCGTTTATTTCAGATCAACGATAACAATAACAATAGCCATAACACTAAGTGCTATGGCCCCTGTAACATTACGGGGTACGGCCCCGTCACCCGATAACCTAAGGGAGGTACAGCCTCCCTTCTAGCGGGCCCTATGGACTCCGGGCTACGCTTTCACGAGTCCTCCGCTACGGGAGCTAGGGGAGGCTAGACTGACCCGACCTAGCCAGGGTACGGGTCTCACTGCTGGTCCGCTGCAACCCGGCTCTTACAAGAGCCTTGGTTGAGGGTCCCAGGGTGATGGACTAGTCTTCAGATGTCTTCGGGTCTTGAGTGGACAAACACTGCCGGTCCCGTTGAGGGGACTGGCTTTTATATACAAGTTGGGGCTTACCCTGCCCCTAACCACACCTTCCCCCAGAACCTTCCAGAAGGGTCTGGAAGGGTCGGGAATTAACCATTGGCCCTCAGCCCCCACCCCTTGGGGGTCTGGGTTCTCTACCTCCGGTCACGGGGCACCCGGCGGGGGGGGGGGGGGGGGTTACCCATGGTTAACCATGACACCTCCCGCTCACTCTCCCAGCCGCCCCTTATCAGCCTGTGAGGGTGGTGACAGTAAGAAGACAGCGCCTTAGTATGGCGCAACATAATGAAGGGAATATTGTCTAAGCTTGAAAATGTTATTTTGACAATTGCCATAGATAAGCCCTTGTCCATCATCCTGGCAGTGCAAATGGACCAGAAAATGTATACCAACCTGAATATTACCACTGAAAGACAGTGGCTATACGAGTTTTATATTTGAAACGTATACATATATAATAGCCCAGATCTGTCCTTCTGTGACTGTGATTAACGCCCCCGGATTGTGAAATGCGTCACATGACCGAGAGCTAGCAGCCAACCAGAGGTGCGCCCCTCCCAAACATGCACGCCCCCGGATTGGTTGAAGTGCGTCACGTGACTGCGAGCTGCCCACTTTGAGAAGCAGCAACATCATGGCCAAAGCGCCGGAGACGCAGCCACGGAAAGCTGACGGTCGATCCACTCACACACGGCTCACTCATACACACAGCTCACTCACACTCACTCACACAATCGCATGCAGCTCAGAGGAGACGGGTGAGTCAGTGAGGAAGCTGATGGTCGATCCACTCACACACGGCTCACTCACTCATACACACAGCTCACTCACACTCACACATAATCGCATGCAGCTCAGAGGAGACGAGTGAGTCAGAGTGAGGCAGAGCCGTGCTCCGTCCACTGCTGCCCTGAGGAACCCCCGTGCTCTCCACTGCTGGCTTTAGGGAGAGCCGCGCTGTCTCCACTGCTGCCGTGAGGGAGCCAGACACTCTCCACTGCTGCCCTGAGGTAGAGCCGTGCTCACTCCGCTGCTGCCCGAGGGAGAGCCGTGCTCTGTCCATTACATTAGTACTCGAGTTTTTTTGGTGCTTAAATCCACTGCTGGATGAAGGCCCACCGCATGCTGTGCGAGTGGATCGTAAGGATTTACTTGACCAGTCTGTTGGGGGCCGCCGCACGCTGTGGTTGTTGGGAGGTGCCGCAGGCTGTGGTTGTTCGGGGCCGCCGCAGGCTGTGGTTGTTCGGGGACGCTGCAGGCTGCAGGCTATGGTGCCCCCCAACAACATAGTATATGGTTATGCGGAGTCGCTACAGGGTCTTTCGGTAAAGTCACGTAGATACGTTCAAATAAATAAATAAACTACGTTTCGATCGCAACACAAGTGGTCATCATCAGGAAGAGGGGGGGGGTTAGCTTCTAAAGGAAACTGTTTATAAAGGTTTGAAATGGGTGTAGCCCAAATGTCAGCAGCCAATGTTAACGTAACTGGTGGGCGGCGACTGCGGCGTTGGCGAGTTTTCCACCAATCAAAGGACTGCCAGGTAAACATTTGCATACTCATTGGTTCTTTCGGTAAAGTCACATATGTAGAAATAAAATAAAATAAAAAATTAATCACGACGTTTCGAACGCAACACAAGCGCTCATCCTCAGGATGAAAATGACGTAAACCACACAGCGAGGGAAACACAGAGGGACATCACACACAGAGCACACTGGGAATGGCAAACTGCACGGAGGCAAATACAGCAAGAAGATGGGAGACGCAAACTTAGCAAAACTTACAAATATAATGCGATGCAACCCAGTCGGCCAACAACAGTTAGATACTAAACCTGGTTGACCACGTATTTTAAAAGACTGCTAAATCTTGTGTTCATCTTCTAGGTTGAACACACCAACGTAAATAGAGGATAAGAACTCGTGAACAGACACGAGGTAGAAGGTAGCAGAGATACACAGAGAAGACGCACAGGGAAAGGTGCTCTGTGTGTGATGTCCCTCTGTGTTTTCTCGAACGTCTCTCATCTTCTTACTGTATTTGCCTCCGTGCTGTTTGCCGTTTTCTGTGTGCTCTGTGTGTGATGTCCCTCTGTGTATTCCCTCGCTGTGTGGTTTACGCCATTTTCACCTGAGGACGAGCGCTTGTGTTGCGTTCGAAACGTCGTGATTAATTTTAATTTTATTTCTACGTACGTGACTTTACCGAAAGAACCAATAAGTATAGTAATTCCTGCAGTCATGAAAGCTTCAATCCTAGATAAAAAAATTAGCATGTTAATGTAAGATTGCCGAGCGGCCTCCAACGGCGAGCGCGCCGAGTTGGCTATGTAAATGTGAAAGGTTAGCTTGTTAATAGCAGATCGCCTTGCAGCAACCTCGAGGTTGGAACGCGAGGTGGCTATGTGAGTGTGAGAAATTTAACCTGTTAATGTAAAATCAGAGTCGAAAATAACACCTAACATCGGAAGGTGGTAGGATGGGAACATCACAACCAGTTATGACTTAAACTGGTTAATAACGTCCTTCCAATGATTGCTCAGTTTGTACCCATCTTCTCGGTTGAAATTGTCTGTATATGTGGATGGCTTCATGAACGAATCTTTGTTGATAGCCAGTGGGTTTGCAAAGTACCTTCGTCTTTGAGAAATCACTTACATGTGAGCCCACCGAATTAAAACAATGATCAGCCATGGCAGAAGTATTTGTCCTACCGTGTTTCAGATCTGCCTTATATTCACGAACACGGTCCGAGACATGTCGCTTAGTTTCCCCAATGTAACTACTGCTGCAGACACAGCTTAGCTTGTAGACGCCGGGGTATTGCATGTCAGGGATCACATCCTTCACAGATGGGATCAGATCATGAATTTTATGTAATGTGTTAAATTGAACCTGGATCTTGTTTGCTCATGATTTTCAAAATATTTTGGTAACCCCTGCTATAGTCTGGCAGGGTAATGGTTTTGATTAGGTCCTCAGATGGTTCTTTCCCAACGGTTGAGGTGATGATAGCTTTACTGGCGAGGTGATGATGGTCGGAAATACATCGAGCTCTATGGTGTAGGGTTTTGATGAGGGAATTATTCAGGGAAGGATGGTGGTGGGAGTCATGTTTTAGGTATGCATCCGTATGGATGGCTTTCCTGTAGACAGTGTCCCATTGAGCCATCTGGTCTCTTTTCGATTAAAACATCCAAGAATGGTAGCTTGCTATCCTTTTCCATCTCCATATTGAATTTGATGGCTGGGTGTATGGAATTGATGTGGTTGAGGAATTGGTTCAGAGTTGGTCGGCCATGTGGCCAGATGACGAACGTGTCATCTACGTACCTCTTCCACAAGAACGGACGTATAGTGGATGCCTGGATGGCATCTGTCTCAAAATTTTCCATGAAAACATTGCTACAACTGGAGATAAGGAAGACCCCATTGGGGTACCTTCAACCTGTTTGTAGAATGTTCCATTCCAGGTGAAGTGTTGGCAGTGTCTCACCAGGGTCGGTACATCAGCATTGTCCTTGTTGGACCAAATCGTCAATGATTGCAATGGTGTCTACATCGAAGGTAACGAGCAAATCACCTGGAGATAGTGAGATATCCTTAATTAACAGTACCAAGTGAGCTAAGTACAGCTGAGGTGGTCTTACCAGTGAATGGTTGTGTAATGCGAGCGTAAATGGGGTTGCTGCTGGGCTCTGGCCCAATCACACGGCCCGTGGTATTGAGGGGCAGAGCCCGGTATGGGGGGCGTGTGGGAGGGGCCGCCGTTCACCTCGGCTCCAAATGGAAGCGAGGTGAATGGGGGTGGAGCCAGCAGGGCAGTATGGGAAGGCCGGATCTGACGATCCGGAATGGGAAGTGTCAGGGTCATGTTGGGGAGAAGATATAAGTGGGAGCCTGGAAGAGATCGGGGTCAGTTGTTGGAGTGAAGAAGCGGGACCACGTTGGGTGGCCGCCGCGCCATCAGTCACGTGGCTGATGGGGCTTCGGCACACCGTCGGTCAGCGGTGTGCGGAGCGGGGAGGAGCGGAGCGACTGACAGGAGAGCGCGTGCGGGGTGCGCGCGAGAAGGAGCTGATGGAAGAGCGTGTGCGGGGCGCGCGCGAGGAGGAGCTAACGGAGGAAGCGCGCGCGGCACGCTAGAGGAGACGCTGGTCCCTTATCAGGACCAGCGGGGTGTGAGGAAGAGTGGAGGAGCTGAGCGCGTGCGGGGCACACGCAAGACGCTGGTCCGCAAAGGAGACCAGCGGGCTGCGGAGAAAGAACTTGAATAAAAGACCAACGGAGACCAGCAGTGCCTAACGGAGTCTTTTATTACAGTTGTAAGGTCTCAGACAGAAATCGGGCCAGTTTGTAGGTGGGTGAGTCAATGGTGGAGACGATAGGATGAAGGGGTGTACCTTCTTTTTGGCAAGCCATACAATGTGGGTGATCTTGCAGCAGAGGATTTTAAGGAAAATCGCTTGTTTGGTTCGATTAAAGATGGCGAATCTGTGATATTGTTGGTTTTCGTAACGAAGATGTTGGTGGAATCTTTTAATTTGTCTACCATCCATCATTAAGTAGGTCCTGCATTTTATTGCATGTGGTTTTGTCCATGACCGTGCCATTGCCCTTGTCGGCTGAGAGGTTGACAATGTCCTCTCTCTTTTTTATTGAGAAAGCTCAAAGAGCTCATCCTTACTGATGTTGCTAATAGGTGTCTTAGCGTTTTTTAGGATTGCGATTTCCGATCTTGCCACGTCTGCAGTAATGTGTCCCAAACCCTTAAGGGCTACGCCAACCTGGGCAATGATATCAACTGGTATGTGTTTAGGGGTGACTGCGAAATTCAACCCTTTAGCTAGAACCGATTTTAGGCCGTCAGAAATTGGACTGTTACTGATTGATAACAATCTTGTCAACATCTAGCTTCTCGACGTGTGGATCTGGCTTCTTCTTGAAAAGGTTGAACTTGGAAATCAGGTTATCTTTTCATTTAGCTGACATTGAGACGGGTGAAGAGGCTGTCATGTTATCTACATGTTCCCAATCAGATGTAGACATTTTTTACGTCAATGTTAAGTGCGATTTCAGTAGTCTTGTTTAAATTATCTAGTTCAAATCGGAGCAATCTTATTCTCTCCGAGATCAGGGCTAAGTTGGCCCTGAACAAGATCCGTTCAGCATTGGGAGAAGTGACAGCAGTAGATGTCAATGTAAAGGCGATCGGTATTACCTTAGTGTCGCGGAATCTCTTTAGGAATGTGAGCGACTCGATCAGATAAGCCTTCTTGTCTCGGAGTTTGTTAAAAGATATAACAGTTGTGTGGAAATCCTCCCCTTAGAGGCAGTTAAATCTTGACTCAAAGCTTTCATGGCTGCAGGAATTGGTTGGGTCTTTCAGTAAAGTCAAGTAGATAGGCTCAAAGAAAATCATGAGCCATTCAATTCTAGTTGACCGAGCATTCACATTCCCCTTGCTCATGTCAAAGAGCTTTGAGATTTTTCAGAATGTAGTGGACAAAAGCAATACACTAGTAAAAGTATACTGTGCTCTACATGCGCTACCAGCAAATCACAAGGTGTAATGGTAAATTGGTGTACGGATCAGGGTCAGTTATTTAAATTGGTATAATACTGCCATATATCACTAAACTATGGCATCACACATTAAGTACTGCAATAAATCAATGTTATAAATGGTCGTATAGCAATTCACATAAAATCAAATAAATGCATATCATTTATAAATAATAATGGGCTCCAGTTTTAACAGCAGTGGGTTCAGTTGATCTAATGATTGTGTCACAAATGTAATTACCATTCACACCAAATATCTCACAAACAGCAATAACACAAACTGCTATTATGGACAAACATTTTTATTTTTCACTTGCAATCAGGAAATCTAACATGATAAAAAATGCCAAGAACATTTGCATACAATTTCACCTTGGAATTTAGATGCAATTACTAAATGTGGACAAAAAAAAATACACGTAATGTGGCAAACAGCCTTAGACCAAATAACTAACGTACTAAATATTGTCAGACAGAATGGTCTGGATTTGAAAGATCAGTTATTGTCATTATTGTTAGGTTTCAGTCGCTCCCCAAGGTAATGGTCACAAGGTCTGAAGCTATTGTCCCGTGGCCGGCCAGTCGTCATGGTCGGGTCGTGCGACTCGTCACATGGTCAGCGGACGTCACGAGTCAACAGTCCACTTGCTGCGGAAACAAAATCAGCCAGCAGTTTTCAAAAATGCACTCATTGTTTGCACAACAATATAATACAAAAAATCAAATGAAAACGTTTCCATGCTCATACAAGCATCAGAAGGGTGCTCCATTCTCCAGGTGGCTCTGATCCCGGTGGGAATTCCACGTTCATATGGCAGTGTCAGTCTCTCCATAGGAGATCCACTGTTTACTTCCCAAAACAGTATGCAATTTATCACCTCCAAGGGATGATTGGCCGAGTTGTCCCCAGCAAGCAGAACTCGAACTCAACCTCCCGGTTGCGAGTTAATCATGTGGCCAGTGCCACCCGGCTGGATATATTACAGTATATAATATATACTAGCCTTTTGCCCGTCCAAAGACGGGTGTATTGCAGTAAATCTGAAACTTGCAAGCGAAAAGCAGACCGCGACGTGATATTCATTGCATCCATTCGTGTGCAATTTTTAAGGGCGCGGTGACACAGACCTATTTCATTTTAAAAGTTATAATCCCTTGTTCATCATGTCCTTTTTACTTGTCTCAATAGCATTAGAGATCGCGTGACGTGAGGGTTCTGCCTTTGTAGTGAGGGTTATAAGTTGACGCCGAGGAGGGGGGAGGAGGCGCCTCGGGCCCCCCATGTTGAGTGACGTCACACTAATTATTATGAATGGGGGGTGTTGTCCATTTGGAGGACGTCACCTTATGATTATTAATGAGGGGGGAGGGTGCTCCATGTGGAGTGACGTCACCTGCTCATGATTAACAATGGAGACTGGTCGACGTGGAGTGACGTCAGGAGCATTAAGGACATTCCTGGGTGATTATAGGTATTTTTCAATTTTAAAAAAATTCTTAGAAAACTCGGGTAAATTCACTATACAAGCAGCATAAACAATTTATAAAGGGCATAAAAATACTTACCTGAACTGAAGCATGGCAGTCAGTTATATTTCATAAAACTGAATTCACATAAGAGCTGCTTTTAAATCCCAATGCATTTTATTATGCTAAAGTCAAGATTGTAAACAAGGCACTAGCAAAATGCATCTCGACAGTCACGGAGTAGTAATACCCCCATAAATATTAAAATAGATAAGTATCTTAAGGTCTGATACATGCCATGTCATAACACAACTGATACTGAGTGGCATGTAACCATAAATCACAACACTGGTCAGATTTTTTGTGGGAGCCACACCTCTTTTATGGGCCCTTGTCAATTGTCGTCATACAGGCATGCATATACACGTGCCAGCTTTGCTTTATACAGCCTTACCATCCGGCCGGTGGGTTTGTACCTTACCCGTGGTGCTAGTTTGTGCGTTGCCGCTTGCGTGCCTCATCCTTGGGTGGGTCGGCTGGCAACACCTTCATCTTCACTCCACACACCTCTTGGCCGTGAAGCGAATCCATGGCATCCTTAGCACAATCTCCATCCGCAAACTTCGCGTAGCCGTAGTTCTTTTGTGGCAAGACGTACACCTCAATCAAGTTCCCGTAACGACTACAGGCAGAGACCAAATCGCACATTACCCACCAACTCAATGGCATGGGGCCCAGTTCATTTATTGGTGGAAACTGCCCACACACTAATTGGGCCTGTGGACTTCAGGCAAAGACAGATTAAAAGAGCACAATCATGAGTTGTGTGCAATGTGTATGAAAAGTGCTGCAAATGTATTCAATGTGAATAAACATATGCAATTTTTAAGACATTGTTATGTAAACTGCACAATTATCTGTTAAAGTATGTTACCAAAAGACATCGGTGAGGGCTTCCTGGGAAGGTGGCATGCCAGAGAAAACCAAGAAGAGCCTCTCCTTCATCTCACTGTCTTGTGAAGCGAGTGGTTGGCGTGGCGGCAGCTTAAAGTTCAGATATTGTGGCTCGGCTGTAGGGGTCGTAGCCATACCCATTTTAGGGGTATTGAAGGCCTAATGGAAAATTGTCACTTGGTTAATAAGCACACGACTAACATCCTTGCACATATTTATTCATGTAACACTCAATACCACCCATAAACCAGACAGGTGTTGACAGCATACTCAAACTCACATTTCTCAGCAAAAAATCAACCCAAGAGCTACATGATTTCTTAATCTCCAAAGGTGTGGATGCTAGTATATGGAACTTGACTATAATCGCATTAAATAACTATGATAAACACCAGTTACCTGCTGTGGCACCCCTTGAGCCATATTTCCATAATTTGAAGCCACAGTTGCCATCATTTGAGCAGTCACCAACTGCAAAGCCATCATCCCCAGCGGACTAAACCAGAAAGGACAACCAAACATTTCAAGATAATTATGAAAACCACACAAGGCACACGTGCGAAGCAAAACTTGGAAATAAAATGTTTAATGAAATTATAAATACAGTGCTTCTTCGTCAGTTGAGAATCTGTAGGTCTCACTTGCTCCCACTGGCAGCAGCCTCTGCATCCTCAATAAAGTTGACAGTGAGCTGAAAGCCTGGTGGATATTCAAACCGGTTCAGCTTCTCCCGGGCATAGATGGCCGAGGCTGGGTTATTGTATTTCAGATATGCAAATCCTGAACACACGGGTCAAAAAAACACTGGTAAATCATGAGATAAAAATTATCTAAACTTTAAATTTGAGAATAGCATGAATTAAATCAATAATTTGTCCAATAGTAATTAAGTATCAAGATTGTTTGAGAATTGGCTTATTTGTTTTTCATTAAATATTTTAACAGAGGTTAATCAGTGAATGATAAAACGGAACAGAGGGCACATACTGTAGCCAGTGTATGGGTCCCTCTGGACATCACAGTACTCCAACCCAGGAATGATACCAAACAGAGATAACATCTGCTCCTTTGTGACACCCACTGCCACTGCCACCGATAGGCAGCGTGAGATGGCAGGATCCGGCGTCTGTGCAGGGGGAACGGTGGCATTCCTCTGGTGAGTGAAGTCCCCTGACATAGCTGTGTTCAAGATGAGAAAAAAAATTGTTAACAAAACACAGAAAACATGTACGAATAGCAAATGCAAAAGAGAGATCACTATCCTGAAAGTGCCAGCAATATTTAAAATGTTTTTGTAAAGTACTGTGTATCGTATGTCTGTTATTGTTTAATATGCAAGAAGGCACAATGCTTTGTAAACTGTATAACAAAGATACATACCATGGGCAGATGGAGGAAAAGAGCCTTGCATGCGTGGCATGTCGCTATACCCTTCCCTGCCCCCATACGGTGGGTAACCACCATGAGCATGCTCCATATGGGAGTGCTGACTTTGAGAAGACCTATTCTTCGGATCTGCCAGAATGGCTTTGAATCCTAGAGAAAAACACAAATTATAAACTTTTCAATTATTTTGAAAGTTGTATATGAAATAAATATTGAAGCACACCGTTTTGAGTCCATGGTTCATTACATCAATTTCTTATATAAAAATGTAAGAATCCCTCATGGTGAAAAGCTAGGTGAGAAATGTTGGTGGTCCAACTTTGAAAGTCACCTTTGACTCTGAAAGTGTTGCTTGAACTGGCACATTGTCAGTCATAAAAGTTTAAAACTCTATCCAAGGGCATTGAGACCTTGCGGGTTTGCTTGTTACAAAGCTAAACACTAATTGGGCAGCTGAGATCTAAAAATAATTCAAGGCTATACGACAGCCAAAAAAACCCCGTCAGAATTTAGAAATGCATATTTTCATGTGTTTTATTATACTGCACGCAATTTCAAAACAACACTACGTGATTGCAGTTCATTGGAACATCCTGTAATTTTTTTATGAGACGATACAATGGCGGCTTACTTTTGTCACAGTTTTCTATAGCCAAGGCAGCCTGTGAGGGCTTCAGAAAGCGAACGTATCCAAATCCTTTGCTGTCCTTGGTGTTTTTATCTTTCAGTATACTGCAGTATTCAATGTCTCCATATTCCTGTGAGAAAGAAGCAGACAATTTGGATGTTAAGACAACTCCTGGAAAGGAAGAAAAACTTAATACAAATTATTTCAACATAACAAGGTAATGTCAGGCCTTCAATAAACTGCGAGCTTTGATATATATTCAAAATCAAATAATGCATTGAAAATAATCTATTTCTCCAAAAATTGGTTTGCTTCAAGTAATGTTCTCACCTGAAAATTTTCACGGAGGTCTTCCTCAGCGTAGGTCTTCGGGATCATGAGGAAAATGCGTGTGAGGTCTTCATCCTCCAAGTCCCTGTGGTTATTTGAGGCACGGGACTGAGCCACCATGGCCTGTGAGGCACACACATCACCGTTACTTTACGAATACAGAAAGTTGCTCACAGTGCTTTGAGGAGACCCACACATGTGGCTAGTTCAGAGTAACATTAGGACAGATTGTTAATCATGTTGGGCGATTGTGAGACAATTGGTATTATGCTTATTTACCCAGGAAAAAAATCACTTAGTCTCGGCACACAATGGCCTACTTTTTTGAATGTCACAGGATCATTAACGTCCACGTATTTATTTTATGGTTAATACACCGGAATTATTAAACCAGGGCACCCTGATGGATGCAAACCACGAACCTCTGCACCAAGCAAAGCACGTGCTACTTTTTGTCATTAAATACCATTACAATTAACCATCATATAAACAAGTTTTGAAGTAAAGGATATGAACATTAAACTAAAGTTCTATGAAGTTTTAAGGATAATTGGTTTTTTACCCTTCTATCTGGCAACAAACTGACACCTTATTACAAGGAGTCATGTATGCAAACATGACTCCTTGTAATAAGGTGTAATAAAGTGTCAGTTTTGTTGCCAGATAGAAGGGTAAAAAAACAATTATATTTTTACTGGCAAATGAGGTTCCAATGGTGTAAAAGTTTTAAAGAGTTTATTTAGTAATGAGAATGCAATACCATTAGCATAATGCAAAGGCATGATCATGGGGTGTTTACCATTCTTCGCAATTTTTTATCTTATCAAAAAAGCAAATTTACCACCATAAGCTAAGCGTTGGACACTTTGGTCCTTTAACAAACGTTCACAATACACTTAAAACTGACTCACATTTAATGCATATGGTTAGACGTTTGTATCCATGAAGTGAATACAAAACAATGGGTAAGATACACTTATCCATAATTAAGGGATAGCTATTCCCAAGTTTTATTTATTTGCAAGTGCTCTAAATACTGTGATTTATACACATTTGAGTCGTCATCCCTTTCAACGGAGGCTCGGCAGACAAACATTAAACTAAACCACAATATCACGAACACGACAGTTAGTAATGCAAAACAAAAAGCATTTCTGCATTAAAACTTTCGTGACTGCAGGAATTAATATTCTATAGTTATTTCGGTAAAGTCACGCAGATAGAAAAAATTATAATAAATAAAGTGATTAAAATATCACGACGTTTCGATTGCAACACAAGCGGTCGTCATCAGGAACAGGGAGGTTTAGCCTTGGAGGGTAAGCTGTTTATAAAGGTTTAGAGATGCCTCGTCGTGATATTTTTTATCACTTTATTTTTTTCTATCTGCGCGACTTTACCGAAAGAACCATAGAATAAGCATTTCTGCAGTAAACCTTTACCCGGGAGACTGAAATTCATTACAAATATAGGCGCGTGCGTGACTTGGACTGGCTTCAGCACAGCACGCGCTCTGACAGGGAATGTCACAGTCTTGATTTACTAACAGGCGCGCTCCTTTCAAAACCTGCGTTCAACTTGCACATAAAAACCAAGATTTACGCAGGGGGGCTATATTTGAACAATTAATAGGGTACCAGTTTTGGCCGCCAGTGAATCCCGCTGCGATTTTCCAAGGTCATCTCAGGAGGAAAGAGCATGCCCACCGGCTGCCGTGGTTATTTTGCCCCCCCCCCCCCATAGCATCACAATCTGCTCAGCATTAATTAGGCTCTCCGACAGCCTCACAATGAACAGAACCATCTAAGAGGTTTTAGTGCAACCCTAATAGGCGTTTTGTCCACGTAACTTCCTCCACTGACATTATTTATTTCGTTTTCCGGTATTGTAGGGAGGGGAGGGGGGTTTGTCGTTTCATCATTTCCTTGTGACACACACGCGCTACAGTGATCACGACCTGTCAGCACAGCACTCACCACAGCCCCATCATACTCAGCACCGCACCACTCACCACCGCTTCGTCATCACGCTCCCCACCACGCCAATAGCCACCCGCCTCATCACCCCCATCACATGCCAGCAAACACCAACCTCACCAGCACACTTCACCACACACCACCCCTTGCTGCCCCATGAGAATCCGATGACGACGACTCCCCAGACCAGTGGCCACCACTCCCCTTTCACATCACAGTCCGTTGCCTATGCGCACCGCATGGGTTCGATCCCGACCCCAGCTGTATATTTGGAGTTTGCATGTCTCTCTCCATGTGGTCGCGTGGAATTTTCTTCCCTGTCCTTCTGGTTTTTCCCCTCCACATTTAGAATCAAACATTCGTTTAGAGTATTTTGGCTACTATAAATTTCCACACGATCAGCCCACTTCGTCGCTTCTGAGCTACACAGCTCAGTGGGCCTTACCTGGTAAAATACATAACACCGTCTAGCATAGCACATGCTCCCTCCACACGCACACCACTACTCCTGCATGCAACTCGGATCACAGCCATTGCAGCCGCAGCAGGCACCTTTGTAACCCACGCTCCCCCTCACACTTCTCAAGCTCGCAATACACACTCCAAAACCGCTCAACATTCCACCATCACGATCGGACATGGTCAATTCGCTGCTGGATCAAGGCAGGGCCCCCACCCCCACACCTCATTCGCCGCCATCTCTCTGCCTTCCCACGCACAACCCTCTACTGTATCCCTAACACACCATTGTACACCACCCCACATGTCGCCCTTTGGGTGTCAGCTACTGTTGGCCAGCACCGCGCCCGGCCGCCTTTGTCTCTCCAGAGCTGATGTTCAACACGCCGTGACATGCCCTCGTTGAGGCCGAGTCGACCCTGGGGCGGGCGGACGAGGCGGTAACGGATCCGAGGCCACCTGCCACACGATGGCGTCAATTGGACTCGAACCCCGAGTCCGTCGTGCGCACGAACCGCTGCGCCACCGCTCCCCCACACACACAACACCCCACACAACACCCCACACAGCCCCGCGACTTGCACACATCGTTAGGGTGAGCGCTGTTAGCCAGCACGGCGCACGAGGGGGTGGGTGTCCAGCACCACGCCCGACCGCCTTTGTTTCCCCAGTGGCGATGTTTTTTACACGTCACACTAGGTACTAATTTGAGGTTGAGTCGACCTAGGGGAGGCCCGGGACGGGTTTAAATCGGGTCGCACGGGTTCTGCCGTGCGATAATCCTCTGCATTCACCCATCTATCCACACATGCACACCACGACCACCAACATCCCCCCCCCACCCCCACCTTACTCTACCTCCACCGATGCACACCTCCTATCTCCACGTGCACACACCTCCACTACCCTCCACGTGCACACACCACCCCGTCGCCTCGCACACCTTGATGGGCTTCCCGTCCCCGCTGAGCGGCTGCCCGTTCATCTCCTCCATGGCACGGCACGCCTCGGAGGCGCGCGCGTACTTAATGAAGGCGATGCCTTTGTGCTCCTTGGTGTGTTTGTCTTTGACGATCCACAGGTCCTGCAGCTCGCCGAAGCGGCTGAACTTCTCGCGGATGTCGGCCTCGGACGTCGTCTTGCTCACGACGAGGAAGAGGCGGCTGTTTGGCGGATCGTCCAGGTTCATGGCGTGGTAGCCGCGGTGACTGCCGCGCACGTCTCGGTCGGGGGACGCCATGCTCGCAACCCTCGTGGTGTCGTCTGCTCCGCCTTCACCGCCCTCCCGCAACCCACTTCACCAAGACCCCGCCCCCAAGATCAAGACCCCGCCCCCACTCACCGAGACCCCGCCCCCAAGATCAAGACCCCGCCCCCAAGATCAAGACCCCGCCCCCACTCACCGAGACCCCGCCCCCACTCACCGAGACCCCGCCCCCAAGATCAACACCCCGCCCCCACTCACCGAGACCCCGCCCCCAAGATCAAGACCCCGCCCCCACTCATCGAGACCCCGCCCCCAAGATCAAGACCCCGCCCCCACTCACCGAGACCCCGCCCCCAAGAGCAACACCCCGCCCCCAAGATCAAGACCCCGCCCCCACTCACCGAGACCCCGCCCCCAAGATCAAGACCCCGCCCCCACTCACCGAGACCCCGCCCCCAAGATCAAGACCCCGCCCCCACTCACCGAGACCCCGCCCCCAAGATCAAGACCCCGCCCCCAAGATCAAGACCCCGCCCCCACTCACCGAGACCCCGCCCCCACTCACCGAGACCCCGCCCCCAAGATCAACCCCCCGCCCCCACTCACCGAGACCCCGCCCCCAAGATCAAGACCCCGCCCCCACTCATCGAGACCCCGCCCCCAAGATCAAGACCACGCCCCCACTCACCGAGACCCCGCCCCCAAGAGCAACACCCCGCCCCCACTCACCGAGACCCCGCCCCCAAGATCAAGACCCCGCCCCCACTCACCGAGACCCCGCCCCCAAGATCAAGACCCCGCCCCCACTCACCGAGACCCCGCCCCCAAGATCAACACCCCGCCCCCAAGATCAACACCCCGCCCCCACTCACCGAGACCCCGCCCCCAAGATCAAAACCCCGCGTCCACTCACCAAGACCCCGCCCCCAGTCACCGAGACCCCGCCCCCAAGATCAACACCCCGCCCCCAAGATCAACACCCCGCCCCCAAGATCAAGACCCCGCCCCCACTCACCGAGACCCCGCCCCCAAGATCAAGACCCCGCCCCCAAGATCAACACCCCGCCCCCAAGATCAACACCCTGCCCCCAAGATCAACACCCCGCCCCCAAGATCAACACCCCGCCCCCAAGATCAACACCCCGCCCCCAAGATCAAGACCCCGCCCCCACTCACCGAGACCCCGCCCCCAAGATCAACACCCCGCCCCCACTCACCGAGACCCCGCCCCCAAGATCAAGACCCCGCCCCCAAGATCAAGACCCCGCCCCCACTCACCGAGACCCCGCCCCCACTCACCGAGACCCCGCCCCCAAGATCAAAACCCCGCCCCCACTCACCGAGACCCCGCCCCTAATGCAAAGACCCCCGTCTTCAAGGCCCAGACCCCACTCAACCAGAACCCCGCCCACAAGGCCAAGTTCACGCCCCTTTTTAAAACTCGGTCTTGCCTGTAACAACCCCTCCCTCTCTCTGCCTCCGCCCCCTCTGTCTATTTAAGGCCACCCCACAGAGACGATCTCCCTCTCTGTACCTGTGTTACTCTCTCTATGTATCTTGGTGATATATGTCTGCTTATATGTCTGTCTATAGTTTTCTGGTTAGATTTTTTGTTGCTATTTCATTTATACCTGATGACGATTGCTTGTGTTGCAATCAAAACGTCGTATGCTATTATTTAATTTATTATTTTATCTTTATACGTGACTTTACCGAAAGAACCAAAGAATAATTCCTGCAGTCACGAAAGCTCCAAAAATTAAGATTGTAACAACTTCACCACGCCCTTTAATGACAACCCTGCTCAGGAGAAATTAATAACCCACTCTTTGGTTCTTTCGGTAACGTCACGTAGGTATAAAATAAAATTTAAATAAATCACGACGTTTCGGGCGCAACACAAGCGTCCGTCATCAGGTGGGAAAGCATAGTCTGCTGCTGAGGCAGACTGTTTTAAAAGGTTTGAAATGGGTGTAGCCCAAGGGCCATAAAGAAGTGGCCGGAGCCAGTGATGTTAATGTGAGAAATTAGCATACAACTGTAAGATAGTAAAGCGGCCTCTTAGACTAGGACACGGAAGTGGCTATGTTAATGTGAGGGATTAGCATGATGTTAATGTGAGAAATTAGAGGGCACGGAAGTGGCTATGTTAATGTGAGAAATTTGCATTATGTTAATGTGAGAAATTAGCATGTAACTATAGAAAAGGAGGGTGAGCATGAGAGATCTAAGAGAGAGGCATAGAGAGAGACAGATAGTCGGAAATAACAGCTGACAAAGGCAGGTAGGATGGAAACATCACAGTCAATGTAGTGTCAGAATGAGAATATTTATTTATATTCTTTGGGTCTTTTGGTGAAGTCATGTAGATAGGTTCAAAGAAAATAACAACCTATCTACGTGACTTTACCGAAAGACCCAAAGAATATGAATTCCTGCAGTCACGAAAGCTTTAAGTAAAGATGTATTTATTGACACTGGAGCTATCCGATGAGCTATAATGCTCCTTTTCACAGATGTCCAGTCAGGGCGGGTAAGAACATTACAACAACAGTTACAAAAAAATGTGATAGTAGTGCAAAGTATAAGAAAGGTAAAAAAAAATCACCCAAACACATACAGATACAACTAAACCACCGCCATCATCCAGACAAAGGCCATTGAGGTGTTAACCTATTTTTCAAAAGCGACCTGCCAACAAATGATAGCACCACAAAGTGGCTTATCATTTGGACATTTATAGCAGCAAAATAATCTAAATAGTCTAAACGCATATTTATAAATGTGGAGGGGAAAACCCGGAGAAAGGAATCCACGCGACCACGGGGAGAGAGACATCGACTGTACCATACCGTACCCGCCATTCAACCACCAAGTGGCGGTGACGTTACCCACGGCGCCTGTGCCAGGCTAGGTGCACTTTGAGGCCACGTGAAATTGTTGGAAGGCTCGCCGGAACAGACCCAGGTGCCATGGGTTTGACCGACTGAAATGACTGGCAGATACACACCACCACCAGCAGTGGCCCCCTCTTAACTGTGCCAATTCGCTCGCCGTTGTTATGAGCGTCGCTCATCTTGCCCTCCGTTGTTGTTGGAGAGGAGGATGGGGGCAAACTTCCCTCCGAACTGACCAGTCGAGCGTCCCTTCACGAGCCTCCGCCACTCGCTGGCCTCCGTCACAGACAAACACACCCACCACGTTAAGCCCCACTCAATCGCTCAACGTCTCCATCCCATTGCCTTCTGCCTCCGTGTCGACCCCTTCCCCGTCCCTCTACCCCTACATGTTGAGTACTGGACTAAGAACGCGTGGGGTTAGGCGCTTGTGGGGGGAGTGGTTAGTGCAGTGGACAGCGCGCATAGCGCTACGCACCCTTCCACCCGAGTTCAGATTTTCCCCGCTCACGGCCAACAACAGGTGACACTTATCTGAACCGGTTCTGAGCCTCCGCTAGGTCGACTCAGCCTTAAATGAGTACCTCGTGCGGTGTGTAAACATCGCTACTAGGGAGACAAAGGCGTTCTGGGCGTAGGTGTTGGCCATCCACCCCCTCGTGTGCCGTGCCGGCCCTCATAGGTGCTCGCTAACAGCACTTGCCCCAACAATCTGTTAAGGAATCTTTGTCTTTGGAAGGTGCTCATGATTCATGTGTTGCTCGTTATTTCTCTAAAGTTCCCCAAGTAGATAATGGTCTTTAAAACACAGTGCAGCATAGCATTCGGTAATAAAAAATATATTCACTTCAAACATGGCATTTCTAGGAACTTTTATTTAAATAAAACACTATTTTAGTACTACTATTTAAATATTTCATTGTACGACAACAGTAACACTTAAGTAATAAGTTAAATTGAATGCCAGCACAATTGTATAAATAACATCATTTTAAGTGGAGAAAGTAACATGTTTATTAAAAAAAATAGGCACAGGAATTATTGTACCATGGGATGACTTCATTTGTAGTTTGCATCATGATGCCCTATCGGACACACAGCACTGTAGTTTTTGTAGCTTGAGTACAATTTACAGCGTAGTGGAAGTAATTACACACGGCTAAAGGTACTGTGCGAAAGGCAATATTTATACGCCTCAATATATCCTCGCGAACATAAATAAGCTGAAATTATTTTAAATTAACCTCTCAATAACTTGACTAATTGACATTCAAGTAAGAGGATTCAGTGCAACTTTTCGTACAGAATATGACTCATGTACGTATGTATCTTACCAAAACCATTTCCTTGTGGTCCATAACCATAACATTTTAGTACTTGGTGCATGTTACGCAGTTGTCGAGTTAAATAAGGAAGGGTTTTTTTAAAGTTGCCCGAACATTCCAAAGCAATACGACACAGCCAATAAATTACGTGATTTTCTACCAGGATATTCTCATGAGAAAGAGTAATTTGGATCACCAACTTGACAAATACAAAAGTACAATGAAGCAAAGCAATGATAAAAAAATATAAAAACACTCGCGTAAGCAATCGAAAATATTCGCAAACAAATCCACGTAAACAAAAGATAAACATTACATTCTCTGCAGCGAAATTAGGCTCGGGAAAATTTCCTCCAGATTAATCATAGCAGAAATGTCAAAGCTAAGCCACATGAAACATTAAACTGATATCGGTTGAAATCATACGACTGTGTCTTCGCAAAAGTTTAGCTGATTTGCTGGTTGGCCACGCGCCACCCAGCACGCAGAGGCCAGAGGGCACACTTTTGGGGTCGCGCGGGGTGGGAGGCACCAAGAGGAAGCGCGGTTGGGGGTGCGTGGAGGGGGGCGCAAGGAGGGGGGCGTAAGTGGAGGGAGGGGGCGACTGGGGGAATATGCGGTTGGGGAGGGGTCCTCGGACTTGAGAAGTTGGGGTGGTGGGGACGTTGGAGATGGGGGAGGAGTACTTTTAAATGGTATACGTACGATATTATTTTTTTAAATGCTGATGTCCTGCCAGCCAGCAAAACTTCTTTCTAAAATAGTATGACAAAGTATTGCTTTATTATTGTTTTTATGAACCTGAATGTAACATTTACACGTTATTTTATTCATACTAGCAGCCCGCATGTCCTGTGGACATGGCCCTCCCTCCAGCCAGCCAGCCAGAAAAACTAGTTGTTTCGAATATCGTATAAAATCTGGGTAATGTATATTATACCCCACATATGCAAAGGCAAACATCTCCCATTTAACCATACATAATATTATTCTAAGCGCTATTAGCAGCACCTTGCACATGCACACACCATTATAAGATAACCTTATTTGCCACAAAAAAGTAGTGATGTTACCATAATCCTTGCATGTGCCAGGCTTGGTGCTGGAGCATGGTGACATGTTGCGCAAAATCCCTTTAGTGATGTCATGGGACATAACCAATACACACTTGAGCGCGCACACATTAGTCTTTCCCAGAATCTGAGTGAGTATGGGGTCGATGATCGATAAACTTTTTCGATATCGTGCTTGCTTCTGTGGTTGGTTGGCCTCTCGTCGTTTTTGTTTCTGTTGCAAGTGATTTGTGTGAACGCTGTCTGGAGTTAAACTTGACCAGTATGCCGAAGCTGCGATCCACTGCCTCTGCCTGGATAACGGACAACTTCAGCACGCGTAGTGTAGCCATTGTAGACATCCAGCTATTGCCGCGAATGCTTGTTACAGGCTGCAACACTTCCACAGGCCTCGCAATGCGCACCTGCGGCACCTTCAACTGCAACACACGACCAATTTCACATCATTGAACGACACACGATACAGCAGCTCACCGATAGTAAAAATCATCAATGGATTAGCGGTTATGATATTTAGCCAATAATACAAACACTTTAATGTATACAAACACGCTTTTTTCGGTGGCATATTATTTCAATAATGATTATTATCACAATTATTTATCCACAGAATTCTAAACGAGTGTCAACAAGTTTCAATACTTTGTCAGGAATTCCCTGCTTGGAATACATATATGGACAAATCGTTATTGAATATACTTGCATGTGAGGATAGGTGGAACACATTGATAAAATTTCTCTGAAAATTCATTGTCGCATGGATTTACCTGTGTTTTGACTCGGGATAGAAGGCCCTTTATATCACGAACAATCTTGTCGATTTCTACAGCCAAGGTTGCTTCGATTTGCTTCAGTTGATTGAGTTCTTTTTCATTCCTTTCTAGTATGCTCTGAATGTTCTGCAGGCATTTTGTATACTTTGGGTCCTGGAAATAAATGCATTGTTCACTTACACGACTTAAATATATACTTCAGTGAAGGCTGATAATGCGATGAGGCTTTGCGGGATTTGCTACTCAACTTAGATCAAGTAGGTAGCTTCAGCAGATTAATTGTGCTGCTTATTGCCATATACTCTACTTTCAATGTAGACGTTGAGATAATATCCGTAATCACAGGACTGCCTAGTATCACATTGCATACTTTTAAATTATGTAATCAATACTATGTTGCTGCTTCGTCTAAACCAGGGGTCGACAACCTACGGCTCCGGAGCCGCATGCGGCTCTTTACGGGCTGCTTCTTGACGATATGTACGTATGTACAGTATGTACTCAGATGCATTGCGGCTCTTGAAATACTGAATTTTGTACCGAATTGGAAAGAAATGGCTCTTCTTGTTATTTTGGTTGCCGACCCCTGGTCTAAACCATTAATATTATAATGACAGCATTGCACATGTCCAATCTTAACTTACAGTATATGCTTATGAGTAGGGACTGTTTATTGTGCAAACTCTGTCAAATGTCACACGGGTCGCACTGACTGAGAAAATGTTAAATGATGAACACGATGCCTGGCCCAATCAATAGACAGTTTATTCTTTAATACATTCATGCATTGTCACATCAACAACAATTTCCATATAAAGTGCTGGCTCTGACCATGCCAATGACTTTCTCTGTAGGTTCCAATCTGTCAATACCACACTAGTGAATTACAGAGTTCATCCCCAAAGGGCATTTAGATTCTTACCATTTGTAAAGAGTCCTGGTCGCAGGAATCTATTCTCGTAGATACGGGTCCATCCAGGATGTCACCATCCAGCTCCTCCACACAGCGCCTATGAGCATTGCACTGCACCGTGAAGGTGCAATTAGACATACGCACATGTGACACGGCACATTGCGTTGTTTTTAAACAAACGCTTATTTAGGCATTACATAACCAGACTTAAAGTGTAGCCCCGTGTACACATGTTGGATGTTCCTAAGTAACATAGATATAATTACAATGATTTAAACCTGTTTAGGAAAGTAGTGGGCTTGGGCAGGGGCGTAACTATGGGGTATGTTGCAGCGTCATGCGATGCATAGGGGCCCCGTCGGCCACAAGGGGGCCCGAATCAACAGATAAACAAATAAAAAGTGTTAAGAATTGTTTTTCAAAATAATTATCTGCGGTTACCATGGACGAATCCCGATTAACGCATCTGGCTATCATATCAATAGAGCAGCATAGAATTGCGCGATCCACCCCATTTGAGGAAATGCTAGAGCGATGGGCCGGCAGGAAAGCAAGACGCATGGATAACTTAATTGTGAGTATTGTACTTTTACATCTTTTTTTATTAATATTGAGACTCTAAACCAAATACACAGTATAACTAAAATAATATATATAGTTATATCCTACATATTATTGTATACGGGTTAAAAACATATGTAGCGATTTCAGTAAACGTAATCTGGAGAAAGAAGGGGGGCCCACAGTCGGATCTTGCATACCCCCGTTGAACTAGGTAGTTGTGCGTCTAGGCTTGGGGAAGACACGTCGCTAAAGGAGGTAATGGCTGATGACCCAGAATAATAACAAAGCCAAGGAATTAAACGTTTTTGAGAGTATATTCACAGAGGAGATGGAGCGATTAAATCAGCTCCAGTGCAACTGCGAGATGGATTGTTATATTTAAGGTGTGTGAGAGATGGCAGCAGCTTGGGGAGGCCTTCATCCAGCAGATGACTGACCTTGGCTGATGATGATGAGCACGACTATCTTGTATTATATGATTAATTTATATTAACCACTGAATTAAAAACATTAAATCCAGATTAGAACGGCAAATTTCATGATTTTGGCAATTTGAGTTTATGGTAGAAAAACATCTACTTCCCTGTGAAACGTCCTTCGGTTATGCCACAATGCAAATGTAATTTATTTACATAAGCAAATATTAAAATTTTGAATATGTTTAGCATTTTGTGGGGAATGCTTTGCACATGCACCATTATTTGATGTGTGGCCGGGTTAAAGGTTACATTTTGTGTAGCTGAACTCAATGTGTCCAACATAGTCACTGGCTGCCACATCAGACGTGGTAAAATTTCCTGAGACATCTTCTGGAAAGATTTTCAATGGTTATTATAGTTTATGATTGTTGTCATATCACTTTATTCAGCTATTGTTCCAATTTCTATACAAAATAAGTTCACTGTTTCCATACAGCATCTTGAAATGTGGTCGGATTTCAACACTATAAAATCCACAAAGTAGTGTATATTGAATGACATTGTTATTGTGATTGTTTAACCATCAAAGCCTCACTGAATCTAATGACTTTTTTGAGGAGGGTCCTAGAAAGTTCTTACAGTCGGGGGCAATTATTACTTCGTATGTTCCATTGCATAATTTGCGGGTAGTTTGTAAACTTTCGACAAATTCAACCATGACGATGGCATATTCTGGCCTACTCTTGTGAATTACATAACCGGGTGTTTAAGGTTCACTGTGAAGCAGAGGGAGTGTATTTTCACGGTTAATTAATCCGCGCGCATTATTAAGCTACTGCTGGAATCGGACCGTGGACCTCCTCTGCAGCAAGCCGCGAACACCATTAGAAATAATCCAGTTAACACAGTCATGATCCACCACATACATTTCTACAGCCTGCATGCCAAAGCATAAACGATATAATTAATGTACAGGGCCAGGCTATAGCACTATTTTAGCTGCTCATCTTAATATTGCAATCGCGTTAAACTGTATCAGTGTGACATGTACTGCATGCTTGTGTCGCAAAAACGGAAGTTGCACTTTACTCTGTAACAAGGAAATTATGGAGCCAATTTTTTTTGACTGGGTATTTCAAGAACTGTACACGAGAAGCTGGAACTCACGTGTTTGTCGAGCAGCAACACCACGGAGTTGTAAATTTTCTCCGAGGCCAGGAAGCACCGGAATAGAGGGCTCAGCGAATCCAGAGGTAGGGACGGGAACCCGAGAACGGTCGACCAGAGCAGCGTCACGGCCACGCAGCCTGTGGGCACAGTGCGGCAGAGGCTCGAGAAGCCCTCTTCGGCAACCTCTCGTCGCGTCACTCTTGCGTCCACCGTGGCCACTCACCTACACTTGGTGTCTCCATGCACTTGCCAGCACGAGTGACATACGTGTTGGCACCCATGCCACATTCAGTTTTCGCAGTGTGTGTCACAGCATGTGGTGGGGTAAAGTGTGGGTATTCACATTTATACTTAAAGATGTCTCACCAGCGTGGAAGAGTAGGTCAAATACCATCCATAGAGGGGCTCCATAGAGACCCTTCTGCTAGCAGTGGCATGAGTAAGTAATTGCAGGGTTGCCCTTTTGCATTGTAATATATTAGCACAAGCTCTCCAAGTCCAAAGTCACCTCTGCAGACGTGTCCCGCTCCCATTTGCGTATGAGAGAAAACAGCAGAACTCTGAATCTGGACATACGGTCACGAACCTCCTCGTTCTACTACCACTTCGCAAACTGGCAAGAGTAGGCGATCCTTGTGTGATCCACCAACTTCGCCCCCAATGCGCCGTGCCCAATTGGCAATTTATACAATCAATGAATTTCGCAGCACGCCTTGTGGTGATGGACGGCGTGCGGGTAATTCACGCACTAAGCCGAGTCAGATCGAACTTAAGTCTGCTCCCAGTTGGCTCACAAGCCATACTTTCCCACTCCTGCACCACTCGATGAGATTCATGACTCAATGAGGTTGTCATCTGCCAGTGCCAGAAATTATTTTGGCACACACTGCGCAGGAGAAGTATTTGCGATGCCTCGCTATTAAACCAAATTCAGCTTAGTTCAAATGATTTTCTCAGTCCATTGCGATATGGAGGTCCTTCAGGAATTGTTTAACAATACTTCATCACGCTGGTCAGTGCGGGTTGGACCCGTGCATATATCGCTCGCCCACTGATGTTAGCCATGAATGGGACTCGAACTGAAGTAGCCTGGTTTTTGAGTGCAGTGCGCTAACCACTGCGCTACCGCTCCAACCTGCTGTTGGTGAATTATTAGCGTTTTAATTAATTTACGATCATTGCTTAACACATTTAAAAGTTACAACTGCTCAGAATAGATAACGCTCGCTGCATGTGGTTCGCTTCCTTACCCATTCGGCAATGGGATGCCATGGGTCCTTGCAGTATCGTGCTGTAACCTCCCACTGCTTGCGACTGTCTGAGAGCGAAATTCGTCTGTGCCCAGGACCCAATTGTCATTTATATTCTCGCCACATAGTTGTGTTACTTCACCGGACGTCCCTGTTTAGGCTTCCGAGTGAGACCAAAAAATTAAGCACGCCCCTGATATGCAGAAGGTTACTTTGAGCAATTCCCGCAATCCCCACGCATTTACGTTCTCTGACGTACGCACACGGCCCTTGCGACCATCTGATAGACACCACCCTCTGACGTTTTTAAAGACATTGAGTCATGGGTGAAAATTCCCACAGGGCTTTGTGAATGAGATGCTACGCTGCGGAGAGTAGACATTGTGGATCTTGGCTGCGACCTGTTGTGTGGTCAGAGAAAATGAATCATTGAGACTGATGCTGGCCGTTTTCGTTCATTCATTAACCCAATGCATAGGCACGTTCAGTTCCTTAAACGACTTCCTCCAACAGTCGACTGGGGTTTCCCAGTGAATTACATACGTGTCAAGTTTTACAAAAATTGAAAAGACCACGGACGTTTTTTATTCCCTTTATGTGCCTTTGCTGAAATTTATGAAGATTTCGATGTCCAGTTGTACACATCAAAAGACCTCACAACTACCACCACCATCAAAATGATCAGCCTCACAAAGCTATCGCCATCCCTCACAGCTCTGGGTTGTAAACGACAATCTATCATTTGTACATTCGTAGATTTCATCATCCCATCTCTGTGGTGGATGTAATCTCGGGAATATTCCGTCTTTTGCATCCTACTGTCCTCATTCTCAACCTTTGGCCATCAATTCTTCTAGAGAAGTGTCCTAACTCAAACCTACTTAATTTTATTAACAGTCATTAACACATTCCTGCGGAGGGAGCTGGTAGGAACGTTGGGTTGCTCGGTCAATGGCCAGGGTCAACGGCGGCGTGGTGTATTCCGCAAATATGCCCGACTGTGAGGGCGGGCACAAGCCGGCGCGAGCAGGTTAAACGTTGAATTTTATGAGGGCACCACGGGGTGACCAGCCCCTCCCCACCCAGCCCCCCCCCACCCAGCTCCACCCTCCCCACCCAGCCCCTCCCCACCCTCCCCACTCAGCACCCCCCACCCTCCCCACCCAGCCCCTCCTCACCCTCCCCTCCCCACCCAACCCTTCCTCCCCACCCAGCCCCTCCCTGCACGACAGACGGACGGACACAATAATCCCCTGTGGGCTTGTGTAACCAGGAGGTTCCTACCAGTAAAAGCCTAATGCATATGTAGAGGCGGTACGTGCTGGCAGGGGGGGATCGTGTGACAGCGCGTGGTGGGTGGCTACATCGCGGTCCGCAGGCAGGTGTCCACATCGCGGTCCGCATAGGCCCCGCCCCCTGGAGCGGAGGGCTATGTAAGGCGATGCGCAGCAGCACTCGGGGAGTTGTCAACCAGTGAAGACAGAAGACGGAGGAAGAGATAGGGCCCTGAGACCCCTAGCCCCGCTGCCCTTGTAAGGGCCGGGACCCTGTGTGGCTCAGAGGCGAGACCTTGGAACTCACGGCCTGACGTCCTTGTAAGGGCCGGGCTGTGGGACCCAGTGGTCGAGACCCATACCCCAGCTAGGGTGGGTCTGAGAGTTCCCCTTAGGAGCTACGGGGCCGGAGGGCCCGAGTGTGTGTAGCCGGGTTAGAACGCGTAGCGTAGGCTGTAGCTCGGCTGCACGTGTTACTGTGTTATTAAGTGTTAATAAAAGTGTGCTGCCCCGTCAACTGGTCTCCCGCCCTAATTGCTATATTACACATACACTATATAATCCATGTGTTCACTTTCTTTCAGTGTAATTCCCAGCATCCACCTGTCCATACTTCTGAGTGTACTTTTCAGGTTTTGCACATTTTTTTTGTCGACGTTTCTAATCCATTTGCCATGCACAGTAGATACTTTGAACAGATGTAAATGTTATTCTTTAAGCACATAGATGTATTGTTTTTAATTACTCAGTTAAATAAAGAAAAATACCCCAACCTACTCTCGTTTGTCACTTTATTGCATCGATTTAAACCATGTCTACTTTCCATAGCTGACCTAGGTTTACATGCTGTAATGTGTTTTCCAGTTGCATTATTTTCCTATAAATATCTTCACACTGCCCTAATAAAAGAGGTGTGGTAAATCTGTGGACATCATCACAGATGCAGGGACCAGTTTTTGAAATAAAATAATCGGACCTAAATGAATACATATAATGACATGCCGTGACCATTCAATGGTGCCTCAATTATCCTTCTATTATTAAACAGTAATTCAACTGATTTGTTGAATGATAGGCGCAATATCTGCTCATCATTTTACAAGGTCGCATTCATCACACACAAACTGCTTGCCACAAATCAACCACAATACCGTGCTGATCTCGTCAAGGAGCATCCACCATCACAGTGGCTTTTGACTAACCATCGAACGCACTTTCAAATGTGCTTCTGCGACCGTCCGGATCATTCTTACTTCCAACATTAGGGAGCCACTGGAGTTATGCACTTTTAAATCTAGGTTGAAAACTAATTTGTTTCAAACTGCTTTTTGTGTTTAGCATTGTTGTCCCTCTCCCACACCTCCGATTAGCATGGTTGGCTACATACGGTGCAAAAGAAGTTCACCATACATACATCTTGAATGCCCCCACCACTCTCCACCCAGAACTATAAATGATTATACCACAGTCGATCGGAAGGTTGCGTGTGGTGGGGTAAAGTGTGACTACTCACACCTTTTTCAAGACATCAACCAGAATCTAAGAAAAGGCCAATCCCCTCAAGAGGGCTTTTCTAGAGCTCTATCAAGTGGAGATCCTTCCACAAGCAGAGGTGTGAGCAAGTATTTTTTGAGCCGCACATTTACGTTAACATCAGCCTATTATTATTGTAGTATATAAATTGTTCACAACCATCATGAAAGTGAAAATGCCTATAATTATTGTAAGGCGACAATCGTCATCTCCTGATATTGCAGTACTTTCTAGTAGCACACTATAACTACATTCAATGTCTAGCATTCAAATGCTGCTCAGCCCATGACCTCTGCAGAGTCAACAAAACAAGTTCTGTGCCACTTTTGTGGAAAGTCAGCAGTGGTTCTGCTCAGAATGCTGGTCCATTAGATGAGCACCATCCAGGCTAATTTTAATGTAGAGACACGAATTCTAATTTCTAATGGCTGCAGTTGTGTTATTGTGGTTCCACCAACTGATGATGCAGGAAGTGTTTTATTGTATGTGTCATGACATTGAATGAGTCGCTGTAGCGCGTGGTGCTGGGAGATTGGAAGACAATGGAATTAGGGGTAGCAGCCTGTTCTACCAGTTGGACCCGTGGGCCAAGCTCGGATCCTTCTGGGGGATCCAGAAGGGTGCGTGGCCAAGGGCGGAGCCTGGCTACGCAGGGGAGAATACAAGGCGAGCTCCGACTCCCAGTCGGGACCTGCTGCTATCAGGAATAGAACTCGTCATGCTGCTGTCGTCGTGGTCTTCGCCTCTTCAAGCTGTAAGTCTGAAAGCATGTTGGCTGTCCCAACCCGGTATGAAATTATCCCCTATGGCTGTGAGAGTCAGAATAAAGAAGAGGGATAATGCCTTCTACTAGTGTCTCTGAATTAGTACACTACATTTGGTGTCAGGAGTGTTAACGATTTTATTTATTTATTTTAATTGTAGGGTTGTTCGGAACTAGATTCGAAGCTTTCGTGACTGCATAAATTACTCTTTGATTATTTCGGTAAAGTCACGTAGAAAAAAATAAAAAAAATAATAGAATACGATGTTTCGATTGCAACACAAGCAACCATCATCAGGTACAAATGAATGAGAAAACAAACATAGTAAACTTGGAAATATAATGCAGTACAACACAGAGAGTCGGCCAACACAACAGTCAACACCCCACCGGGTTGATTACGTTTTACTAAAGATTGGTAGATTTGAGAGAGAGACAAAACATAGACACGGAGATACACAGACAGACACACAAGCAGAGAGAGACTCACACAGAGACAAACAGAGAGAAACACACACATAGGCACACAGTAACACAACAACCGCCATTCGCCACTAAGTGGCGGTGACATCACCACGACGTTTGTGCCAGGCCATGTGCACGTTGAGGCCATGTGAAGTGTCGAACGCCCGCTGGCAGGAGGTCACGGGGCAGACCCAGGTGCCACGGGTCGACTGACTGAGATGACTGAGATGACTGACTGATGCACCACCTGTGCACCCGGTGCTCTGCTTATTGTTGTGAGCGTTGCTCCTCCGCCCTCCATTGTTGTTGGAGGGCGACTGCCACCAACTGGCCAGTAGCGTTTTTCACGAGCCTCCTCCACAAAGGCCGATCCTGACACCGCTGGTACCAGTCATCGGCAAGTCCACTCAGCTCCACGTCCTGCTGTACCACATCACTCCTTCTCTTCTCTAGCCCATGCCGCGCCCGTTTAGCCCCCTCTCTCCGACCGAACAAAAGCTGTTTAGGCATGTGGTGGCTAGGCATGCGGGCTACATGACCCAACCAACGCAGCCTTGCCTGCCGGAGGAGCTCACCGATGGGACTTTGCCCAGATCTTTCGAGGATTTGTGAGCTCCTCACACAATCCAGCCTGGTTAAATCCAGGATGGATCGTAGGCAGGCCAGCCTAAATGTTTCTAACTGGCAAAGATGCTCCATTAGGGGGGTCCACGTTTCGCAAGCTTAGAGAAGGGAGGGAATGACCATGACCGAGAAGACCTGAAGCTTCATGCGGAGCGACAGACCAGGTAGCTTCCACACAACGTTATGCAATCGATGAAAATATATTGCCGCCCGACTGATTCGGAGTGAGACCTCTGCTGTTAAACCGGAGCCGGTCATGAGCACACTGCCCAGGTATGGGAAACTCTCCACTCTCTCCACAACTGCCCCATCACCGATTGGGAGCTGTGGGGTGGAGTGTCCGATGGTACAAAATACCCAGGGAGGTGCTTAGTTTTGGTGGGGCTGATGGTAAGGCCGTACCTCTTAGTGGCACGCTCCAGTTTCAGCAGCAGCGTCTCCAACTCCTCCTCTGAATGAGCAGCAATTACCA